ATTATGCATTCAGAGATCACACACCGGGCCTCTAATATATACACACACACACACACACACACACACACACACACACACACACACACACTTACTGAGTGGCCAGATTATTATGCAGTCAGAGAGCACTCAGTGTAGATTACTTTCAAAGGCCAAAAGAGAGAACTAAAGTACAATAAAGAGATCACAGTAAGCAGGAATAGTTAGAAAAAGTAACAGAAATAACAGGATTTTAGCTGGATGGAACTAAAAGAAATTTGTATAAATAGGAGTTTCTAGCACTGCAGTCAGAAACAGTAACAAGCACAAAAACTCAGAAATAGAATGCAGTATTGGCCTGACCTGGGACTGAGCCAGAAACAGAGACTCTGTCTCTACCTACTGAGTCAAAGCCCGCATTTTAGCAAGAATTCTAGGCGATGTGCACTTATATTAAAATTTTAAAAGCACTGTCTTAGAACAGTGGCCAGCAAACTTTTTTCTTAGAGTCAGGTTAAAAATATTTTTGGTCTCTGTCTTAACTATTCAGTTCTACAGTTTAGCGTGAAAGCAGCCGTAAATGACACTATGTAAATGAATGAGCATGGCTGGATTGCAATAACATTTATTATAGTGATGGTTAATTTTATGTGTCAACTTGACTAAAACAAGGGTGCCCAGGTATTCGGTTGGACTTGGTTTTGGGTGAGCGTGTTCCTGGATAACATTTGACTGGTAGACTATGTGAAGCAGCATGCCCTCCTCAAAGTGGGTGAGCCTCATGCAATCTGCTGGAGACCTGAATGGAACAAAGGAGGGAGAAAGGTGAAGTCACACTGTGCCTGTTTCCCAGTTGGGACATTGCTCTTCTGTGCTCGGACTAGAACTTATACCATCAATTCCCTTACATCTCCAGTTTGCATAAAGTCGATCCAGAGACTTCTCAGTCTCCATAACTGCACGAGCCAATTCCTTGAAGTAAATTACACCCCCCCCACACACACACACACACTCACACACACACACACACACACACACACACACACACACAATCTCCTAATATATAAAATATGATATATAGTTTTGGGTGCCAAAATGTGAATTTCATATAATTTTCGTGTGTCATTAAAATACTATTCTTTTCTCAATCATTTTTTTAAAAAATTAAAAAACATTCTTAGCTTGCAGGCCATACAAAAACAGACATGGGCTGGATTTGGTCTGTGAGCCATATACATATATCATGTATATCATATGCTGTATGATATACATGACATGTTGCCCATCTCCCCATCTGGGAGCGTGGTGGGGAATCCACCTTTATAATCCTGAGTTTGATGTAGTTACTCCCAAGAGAAGACATTTGGGTCTCACCATGAGACTTGACCTCTTTGTTCTATTTTAATGTGGACTTTATAAAGTCCTCATTCTCTAAATAATCACAAATAATTTCCAAATTAAAGTAATGCAGCTCTGATAATTTTACTCTCCCACTCAAAACATTTTACTGTATTACATACAAATTACTCAGCTTGCCATTCAAGACCCACTGATAATCTTTTTCCTAGTTCACATCTGTTAATTCACTTTAGTCTCAAACCAACCAAGCTGTGCTATTTCTGGCCTCTAGATTTGCACCTTGTTCTTTGGGCCCCTTTACTTTGCCCAAGCATATTCCATCCATCTAAAGTGCCCCCTCCCTCAATATCAATAACAATTCAAATCCACATACATATTATATCCTCAACTAGCCTATTCTATATACGAGTATGTCCATTAAGTAATAACTGGTATTTGTTGAACAATGTGTAGAAGCCATTCCTTTGGCTATATCTTAACATGCAGGGGCTAACTGAGTCCTCACAACCACTTTAGGAGGTAGCTATAATTACGTTCTTCATTGTTCAAAGGATAAAACTGGGGATGAAATAGACTGGTAGACTATTGCTCCTGAGTATTCTTGGGAAGTGGCTTTCCCAAGAATACTCAGGAGCAAGTAGTCAAGGTGAGGCTCTGATTACAGATCCTGAGCTCTGAAACAGGAGATCCACTGAGTCACACATAAAATATTTCCAATCTGTTAATTGTTACAAAACTGTGGCAAGTGTTCAGTTTTATTCTGTTTGCCACATACTGTGTGCCTCGTAACAATGATCTGAAGTTCCTTTAATAATTGCAGGACTTAAGAAATTAAAGAAAACTTGTCTGGATGGAGAACAGCAAAAAAATAAAAATAAAATAATTTTTAAAATAAAAGAATACATTTATCTCTATTCTTAATGTTTTAACTTTTCCATAAATAAAACATACAAGTGGAGAGAAACACTTGCTACATTTTGGTTGAAACTAGAAATGAAAGTGGGTAAAGGCACCAAGTTGTAAGTCCTCAGTCTGCCTTCTGCTGGAGCGAGAGCACAGGAAATATTTGTGCTTTATGGGTTGAACAGGGAAATATCACTCAGGCAGATTGACTAGCCTAGCTCAACTTAACAAGAAGAAATCATACATGAGTATTAATATTAGGGCATCAGCCGAAACCGGTTTGGCTCAATGGATAGAGCGTCGGCTTGGGGATTGAAGGGTCCTGGGTTCGATTCCTGTCAAGGGCATGTACCTTGGTTGCGGGCATATCACCAGTAGGGGGTGTGCAAGAGGTAGCTGATCAATGACTCTCTCATCAATGTTTCAAACTCTCTATCTCTCTTCCTTCCTGTCTGTACAAAAATCAATAAAATATATTTTAAAAATATATATATTAGGGCATCAGCAACAACTTTATTCTGTAGTTGTTAAGTTACGTACAATTTCTTCTATATCCCAAAAGTATGCTCTTAACCTTAATAGACTAAGATTTATCGAAGATTTAAAAAATACATTAGTTACACCAGAAACACCAAATTTTTCATATTTGTCTTCCTAAATTAACTATGACATTCAGCAATGTTACTCATACCCTTGTGAAAATCAAATTCTGCCATCTGTCCCAAATGCCCATTTTTATTTCCCTTTACATAAAACTAAAGGAGTTGTCAAATGCCTTTCAGAAAAACAAAATTTTAAAAATAGATATGGTATATATAACAGTCATGGGTCTAAGATTTTGTGAATACATTTGTTTATCTAAATCATTTCTTTATCTAAATCTATCTTTTGTAACTTTTTGGTTTTCATTTTCATTCTTTCCCATTGTACAATCTTTTCGGGCACTCACAAGCCATTGGATTCATAACTTGCATGTTCCTCCTTAACACAGTAAACAGCTGACATAAGTGGAACCATTTAAAATAGAACTAGGGCAGCCATTCCAGAGGAACTGCCTTGCACGACTTTTTCCTAAAACCTTTCAAATGTTTGAACTCTTGGACTGGGCCCAAGCAACTTTATATTCCAAACACTGCTTGTGCAGCTAACAGGAAAGCATGCGTCCTGACTATGAGGACTGAAAGTTAAGGACAGGCTTTAGAATTAGCACCACCATCTATAGCTAAAAATGAACTTAGCTCATTAGCACCAATAGAAATTCATTTTTTTCCCTATTCAAGTAATTATTTCCTTTCCCTTTCTCATAAAAACCCCTTCATCCCATAATCAGAACATTATTTGGGTTTCTGCCTGAATCATTGCTGCCCTATTTTGATCTCAAGCAAATGTTTGATGCCTGTCACTTTGCTTTTTTATTTTTTAGGTTAATATCGTATTTTCTTTATCCCTGTTCTCATTTTCTCTCTTTCCTCAGCCAATTTACTAATTCAAGTATGGACACATGTCCAAGGAGTGTCTGGATCTCCAAAGTTATAAACTACAAATGGTATAAATTATTTGAATTCAAACAACTCTGGCAAACTCTACCCTTAACTGCACCCACCTAAATGAAACAACAAAAAATTATCCCTTTATTAAGCCTCTAAAAACTTTTCCATAAAAAGCAGAGTTAGAAATACCCTGCCACCTCATTTTAATTGTGTCCACCTTTTCAACATCTAAACTCTGTGTTTCATCATCTTTACGTGTTTTTTATTTATTGTTGTTTTAAAAAAAATGGCTTGCTGTAGGTAAATCTCTTTCTCACCTGATGTCTGGGGCACAGGAGAATAGTGTGTCTAAATGCACAGACACTAAAACAAAGGCTTTTGAAATCAATGTAAATGCTGTATCTCAAATGCAATTCTGAAAGAAGTAGTAGTAACAAAAAAATTGTAAATCTCCTAAGTATTAACAGAGAGCTTATTGTAAGATTTCCTTGGGGCAATAATAAAAATGAGAATCTCAAGAAAACCCTAAAACTGGCTTTAAGAGGTGGAACTAGAGGGAGAGGATTGGCAGACTCCAATCCAATCCAACAGAAGGGAAAGGGAAAAGGCACAGAAAAAAATGGGTCCCATTGGTGGCAGGACGGAAAGAAACAGTTCTGCTTCTAGTCTTCCCACGTTATTCCAGAACCCCCCAGGCAGAGACTCTGGGCAGTGCCCTGGCACTTTCTTGGAACCTCCACTGATCCATCTGCCCCAAGACCATCCCACCTGGCCCATAGGGCGAATTCCCAACTCCTCCAAGTCTTTGCTCAAAGTCACCTTCCAGTGTGGCCTATTCAAACTATGACACCCTCCCGGGCCCTCTCCCCACTTCCGATGACCCGCTGTGAATCATTTATGTTAGCCTCTCCACACGCTCCATTTATATCCCTTTGGACACCCTGCCCGTCGCTTCTCCTTTAAATTTTGCAGGAGAGGGGCGGAGTCAGTGCCGGGGGGGGGGGGGGGAGCGCCTCCGCAGGCCCCGCCCACTGACGTACAGGCGGCGGTGGGCCAGACCACGCGAAAGACGTTCCACTCCGCACCGGAAGCGCGCGTGCAGACGGAGTTACCACGTGACCGTGACGTCCTCGGCCCCGCGCCGGCGAGCCAGACGCCTTCAGCCGCCGCGGGTTGGGTGCTTCCCGTCACGTCGTGGCGGCGTTCGGGGTCTTTCCCCCCTCTCCCCTCCCCCCCGCCCCCGGGCTGGCGGACCTGGTCTCAGGCTCCGGGATGTACCACAACAGCAGCCAGAAGCGGCACTGGACGTTCGCCGGCGAGGACCAGCTGGCGCGGCTGCGGGCCGACGCCAACCGCAAGTTCAAATGCAAGGCGGTGGCGAACGGGAAGGTGAGGGCTGGGCTGGCCGGCGGCTGTCCCGGCCTCTGAGCGCCTGGGAAGCTGCGGGGATCCCCTCCCTCCCCCCCGCCTCCCCTCCGCGGGGGGCTCCCTGCACACCCCCCTCCCCTGCCTTCGCGGCGCGCGGGCACCTGTTCGGTAAACCGGGAGCCTGCCGGCCCGGGCTGCAGGCACCTGGCGGACCCGGGCGAGAGGCTTTGGAGGGCGTCAGCCGTGCGGGCCTCGGGCCTCTCACTTGTCCAGCCGAGGTGTCCGGGGAGGCTTTTCCCAGTGGCCGCCGCAGGGAAGACGGGGAGGGGCCGCTCCCGGCGGACGGAGCCACAGGTGGGAGGGGGGCGCCGGGCGGGAGCCTGAAAGGCTCTGGGAAGGCGGTGTGTACGGGAGCTGAGCGTGAGTGCAGGACCCGAGGGGCTGGGGAGGCAGGGGGTGTGTGAGCGGAAAGGAGCTGGAACTGGGTGCCTGCCGGGGGATTGGGGACTTTGGAAAGACGATAAGTGGCACATGAACTTCATCATGGTGCCGGGGAAAAAGTCCCCTGGCATCCTGGTGGGGAATGGGTTGGATGGGGCAGGTTGGAGGCAGGGAGACCGGAGACCGTTCTCACACACCAGTTGGTTGAGAATGACGGCCTGCCTGCCAGCCAACTTCTTCCTGTGATTAGCTCCCGGCCACCCTTCTGTTCAATCTTCCCTCACCTGCACAAGCCTCCCTCCAGCAAGGGTTCGACGTCTCAGACCTGGAACTGAGATACTTTTTTTTTTTTTTTTTTTTTTTTTTACCTTTGCTCCAAGTCGTATTTAGTATGCACCGTGCTATGTGCTGGGCAGTGTTCTAAGCATTTAGCAAGGATGAGCTCTTTTAATCGCCTGGGGTAGATGCTGTTATTTTCCTCCCCTTGCAGCTGGGGAAAAACTCAGGTGCAGAGAGGCTGAATAACTTCTCCAGGCTTGATTATTGCTAGCAAGTGGCAGGTTTTGAACCCAAAGAATTTAGTTCCAATATTCCTGCCCTACACCACAATTACATGCTGTCTATAAAATGAGGGCCTGTGTTAGTTTCCTAGGGCTGCCATTAAAGAAAAAACAATTTTTTAGCCACAAACTGGGTGCCCTAAAACAAGAGAAATTTATTGTTTCACAGTCTGGAGGCTAGAAGTCTGAGACCAAGCTGTTGGTTCATAGGGGTTCTCTGCAGCTTCCAGGAGGAGATTCTTTTTTTCCTCTTCCAGCTTCTGGTAACCTCGGGTGTTTTGTGAGTTTTTTTGCTTGTGGAAGCATAACACCAACCTCTACCTTCGTCTTTACATATGTTCTCTCTGTGTCTGTATCTTCACATGTTAAAGGTAATAGTCATATTGAATTAGGAGCCGTTCTACTCCAGTATGATCTCACCTAAACTAATTACACCTGAAGAAACGTTCTAAATAAGGTCAGATTCAGAGGTACAGGCCTACCTCGATTTATTGAGCATCTCTTATTGCGCTTCACAGGTGTTTTTTTTGTTTTGTTTTGTTTTGTTTTGTTTTTTACAAACTGAAGGCAAGACCTTCCACCTGCAAAAAAGGTTATGGTTTGCTTTATTGCGGTGGTCTGGAATTGAACCCGCAATGTCTACGAGGTATGCCAGTATTGGGGAGTTAAAATGCCAATATATCTTTTATTTTGGTAGTTGTAATTAAACTACTTGTTGTGAAGTTGTATTTGTTAACCATCAAGTGTATCCTGTAGAGAGTTTACAAAGATGGATGAGAGGTAATGTTTTCAAAGCCAGAATTATCCTTGAGACACTTGTTGATTTTTATCTCAACCTGTGACTGAGAAAGGGGTCTTGAAAACTTTCCAACTATTAACAGTGTATATCTCCTTTTTGATTTCACATACCTGTGAGCACATGCACACACACCATCAGGATTGCTTATACTGTAATGAAGCAAATGTCCAGCTGACACTCTGAGGAATTGTGAAATGATGGTATAGTCCTAGTTAATTAAATATTTTCCTAATGCTATTTTATGTAATATTTAATAATTTTATAAAGAGAAAATGAGATGTAGTGTATTTCCCTTTGGCTGGAGATGAAAACTAATCTGGACTGGGAAAAATATTTTAAGAGCATTTAATTTACTGAACTTTTTGTTGTAACTTTTGATCTAAAGGTTCTTCCAAATGATCCAGTCTTTCTTGAGCCTCATGAAGAATTGACACTGTGCAAATACTATGAGAAAAGATTATTGGAATTTTGTTCAGTGTTTAAGCCAGCAATGCCGAGGTCTGTTGTGGTAAGTTATGTTAGTGATGAAGTATAATGTCCTTTGACTGACTTCTGAAATATGAGCTCTTCTAAATTTGTAGCTCAATCCTGTATCCACTTTATTCAGGAATGCAACTTAGTTATATAAATATATAATATATGTATTTAAGTTTTTGTCATTTTATGTATTTTTCAATACTCTTAAATTATGAATTCCTATATTATATCTTACAAAATGTTACAAGTCTAATTTCATAGAAGAATTTTGAGTTCTTCTAAATAATGACATCCTCATTTTATAAAGAAAGAAAAAATTAAATTATTTCCCTCCAGATCCTCAGTAGAACTAGGACCAGAACATAGAGGAGTGCTTTTTCATCAGTCTCACAGAAATATCTTTGAAATAATAGTTATTCATATTTTTAATCAAAAATCCCTATTTGAAGCTTATGCCATAAGGAATTTTTAAACCTGATTCATAGAAGATGGATATTTTTTTTGGGTGAAAAATTTTCTTTTGCTGTTTCAAATACATGATTCTGAGGACTCCATTTGTGTGTAGGTGTGTGCTTACTGTGATGGGGCAGTGGTGAGGAGAAACAGGTAGTTTGAATTTTTTGGCTATATAGGTTTACATACACTGTACCTGTAATTGTTCCTATTTTGTGTATTATATTTTATAGAAGTTAAGCTAAGATTAAAAAGCTGAAAGATACAGGAAAAAAAGAGGGAGAAGTATAAAATATTTTTTCCTTATTATCTCACAGATTTGTTGTGAAGATCAAATATGAAGTCTCTTAATTGAATGTATGTCTTAAGTTTTGAAGTCATATAGAGTGAATGTCTTAGGACACAGTAGGGAATAATCCCCTAGGAAATAATCTCCACTTTATAGTTGAAAAAATTGAACTTTATTGAACATATTAAGTCTAAAAATACTCGTAGTGACTTAGTTTACTAGATCTTTTTTTTACAGAGAGGAATAGAGGGATAAAAAATCAGAAACATCAGTGAGAGAGAAACATCGATCAGCTGCCTCTTGCACAACCCCTACTGGGGATGTGTCCACAACCAAGGTACATGCCCCTGACCGGAATCGAACCCAGGACCCTTCAGTCCGCAGGCAGACACTCTATCCACTGAGCCAAACCGGTCTTGGCAGTTTACTAGATCTTAACCAGAGAGATCAAAGATTCAGGAAGAATTTTAGATATGCTTGATTAGCTTCTATTTCCAGATTTAGCTCTTTTCTGATAAAGAGAATTATTGTTGAAGTAGAAGGTTTAAATGATCTTTTCAACTGAAGAAACTGAGTCCTTGAATGAACAACTTTGTGGAATTTGTCTTTATGAAACACTAGAGTCGCAATGAACGAATTCGTGCACAAGTCAGGCCGGTTGGGGGTGGAGCTGGCTGGAGGGGCAGTTGGCCAGATAGCCCCTCCTCTGATCAGGCCTGGCTGGGCTGGCAGTAGGGAGAGGGAGAGAGAGAGGAGCCGGTCCCCAATCGGGCTGTTTGCCCAGCCGCAGTGCGCGTCATAGGGACCGGTCTGACGGTTGCTTGGGGCTTTTATATATATAGATGCTTATTTATAATGGATTAAGAATTTTGTTTTTTGTTTCACATAAAAGACATAAAAGGTAATATTTTTTTTCTATCATGAAATAGATAAATATTTATTTCATTGGTTCTAGCCATATAACATAGTGGCTAAAAGTACAGGCAAGTCTTTGTTGAATCCAGCCCTGTCCCTTATTAAGATGTGTAACCTTGAACAAGTCAGCTTAACTCATTGATACTCAGTTTTCTTCTTTGTCGAGTGAAAATAGCAATGTTTCATCAGCTGTTGTAAGGTTTAAATAAGATGGTAGTTTTGTGTGTGGCACAGAGCCTGGCACATTGCAGTCAATAAACAGTAGCTGCTACTTCTACTGTTAGGTTTGGTAGCAGCAACCATGGTTAATATCACAGATCTGGAGTAGATTTAGAGAAAAGGCTTACTGCCCCAACTGTGTTATACTTAATATTTTTAAATTGACTGGTTAACCTGTGAACATTAATATTTTTTTTAATTTTTCTAAATTAATCTGAATTCTAAAATAACATCCTATCTAATAAAAAAGTAATATGCAGATTGACCATCACTCCAACACACAATATGGCTGCCCCCATGTGGTCAAAGATCCTGCCCCCATGTGGACACAAGATGGCCACCACAAGATGGACAGCAGGGGAGGGCAGTTGAGAGGGACCAAGTCTGCAAGGGAGGGCAGTTGGAGGTGATCAACCCTGTAGGGGAGGGCAGTTAGGGCTGGCCATGCCAGCAGAGGAGGGAAGTTAGGGGCAAACAGGCTGGCAGGGGAGCAGTAAGACATCAATCAGGCTGGCATGGGAGTGGTTAGGGGGTGATCAGGGTGGCAGACAGAAGCAGTTATGGGCAGTCAGGCAAGCAGTTGGGAGCCAGCAGTCCTGGATTGTGAGAGGGATGTCTGATCCCATGGGGATCAGGTCTAAATAGGCAGTTTAACCTCCCTTGAGGGGTCCCAGATTAGAGAGGGTGCAGGCTGGGCTGAGGGGTATCCCCCACCCCGTGCACGAATTTTGTGCACCGGGCCTCTAGTTTTGAATAAGCCAATAACCATATGAAGGGTGACCCAGGGGGTGTGGTAAAGGACAACAAAGTCTTGGCTCTGGTGTTTCTGTACATTTCATTGCAATTATTTTGCTTAAAGAATTAAGGTTTGATATTTTTTATGAATAACTTTTTAAAAAAATTTTAAGGTCAATTTATTGAGGTGACATTGGTTAATAAAATCATGTAGGTTTCAAGGAATACATTTCTATGATACCTGGTTTGTATATTGCATTGTATGCCTTCCACCCATAGTCAAATCATCTGTTACCGTTTGACCTCTTTTATCCTTTACTACCCCTCATCTCCCTTCCTTCTGGTAACTACCCTACTGTTGTCTGTGTCTATGAGTTTCAGTTGTATGTCCCACATATGAGTGAAATCATATGGTTCTTAGCTTTTTCTGACTGATTTTGCTTGGCATAATATTCTCAAGGTCCATACATGTTGTTGCAAATGGCAGTATTTTATCTTTTCCTAAGGCTAAGTAGTATATCTGTATTGTATCTTTTTTATCCATTCCTATTGAAGGACACTGGTTGTTTCCATGTCTTGCCACCATGAATATGTTGCAATAATGATAGGGGTGCATAGCTTTGCAAATAAATGTTTTCAAAGAAACTTTTGACAAATAAGGTTTATTTTTTAAAAACTAAATTTAACATGTAATGTATGTGTGAATAAATTCTGAAAAATATATATTTTTTTTAACCTTAGGGTACAGCTTGTATGTATTTCAAGCGTTTTTATCTCAATAACTCAGTAATGGAATATCACCCCCGTGTAATAATGTGAGTATAAGTCTGTCTAATTTATTGATTTTTATTTAACAAGACCTTTATACTACTTGACTGTGTGTGTGTGTGTGTGTGTGTGTGTGTGTGTGTGAAAATTATTTCCTAGTAAAAGATAATTTAGACTTGCATTCTATACTGAACTTAAGATCCCTGAGCACACTTCTTATGTATCTGTAACACTTCCCTGTAATACTGATGGCATCTAAACTTTAACTTGTCCAGGTTCAAATTGTGTTGTTATTTTTTTTTCTAAGCTAGCTTCCCTAATACCCCTTTCTGTTCATGGCACCTTTCTTCTTCTAGTTGCTGAGTGAGAACCATTAATGGTAGCTCCTGTCTTTTACATCCAGTTAGTTTACAAATCTTATAAGTCCATATAGGATTCATTCAAATTGAAAAAGGTCTTTGGGTTTCTGTGCTCTGCTGAGCACTATGCTTATCATTAAAGATAAAATTGAAAATAGTATGTGACTCATCAAAGAGCATGCTATCAATGTCATTATCCCTGTTAGTTTGTTTTCTCCTTTTTCCTGTTTCTACCAATCTAGATCAAGCCCTTGTTACTTCCAATCTTGATTTTTGTGATAATTTTCTTATTAGTTATGAGAGTTGCATAGATTTGTTTGGAAGTAAATAATGCCCTATTTCAATACCTTTGGAGACTTCCGCTGATACTCCTTCCACAAAGGTAGCTCTTTAACCTGCCATTTATCCCATGCTCATATGGTACATATGTGTGTACTATTATACATTTTTTCTCTTCCATCTGTTATTTCATGATAAAAAGTACTCCTTTTTATCAGTTATTTTGTTCTTCCAGATATTTAGGTTGAACTATATGAAATTGCCAGTAAGACAGTAATGGTTGAATGCAGTGGCAGTATTACACAATTCAACCTAATTTTATAGTTTCCTATGGATTTAAAACTTAAATCTCTCTCGCGTGCAAACAAATCTTTAAACAAATCATATATATATATATATAGAGAGAGAGAGAGAGAGAGAGAGAGAGAGCGCGCGCACGCGCGAGCGAGCGCCCGGTGCACAAAATTTATACATGGGAGAGGTGGTGTCCTTCAGCCCAGCCTGCACTCTCTCCAGTTTGGAACCCTTCTAGGGATGTTAAACTGCCCACTCAGATGTCCCTCTCACAGTCCAGGACTATTGGCTCCCAGCTGCTCGCCTGCCTGCCTGCCTTCCTAATTGCCTAACCACTTCTGCCTGCCAGCCTGATCACTCCCTAACCATTCCCCTGACAGCCTGATTCATGCCTAACTGCTCCCCTGCCAGCCTGATTGCCCCTAACTGCCCTCCCCTGCAGGCCTAGTCCCCCCCAACTGCCCTTCCCTGCAGGCCTGGTTGCCCACAACTTCTCTCTTCTGCCGGCCTGGTCACCCCTAACTGCCCTCCCTTGTAGGTCTGGTCCCTTCCAACTGGTCTCCCCTGCTGGCCATCTTGTGGTGGCAATCTTATGTCCACGTGGGGGCAGGATCTTTGACCACATGGGGGCAGCCATCTTGTGTGTTGGAGTGTTGGTCAATTTGTATATTACTCTTTTATTAGATAGGATATATTTTATTTATATATATATATGTATATATATATTATATTCTGTAATGCCTACTATATTCACTTGTGAATATTAGTCAATTTTAGAATTTAGTTTTAGAAATAAAGTATTTACATATTTTTCAAAATATATGCATATCCCTGGTTATGTGTGTGAGAGAAAAAATTATTTCCTAATAAAGGACTTGCATTCTTTTCTGAATTTAAGATCCCTCATATTCCTTATATTTTCCTGTAGGCTCACTTGTGCATTTTTGGCCTGCAAAGTGGATGAATTCAATGTGTCTAGTGTGCAATTTGTTGGAAATCTGCGGGATAGCCCTCTTGGGCAGGAGAAGACACTTGAACAGATTTTGGAATATGAACTGCTTCTTATACAGCAACTTAATTTCCACCTTATTGTCCACAATCCTTATAGACCATTTGAAGGCTTTCTCATTGATTTAAAGGTAATCTCAATCTTGATATAAAGTAAACTAGTAGAGTGTACCCCTTTGCTTTGTTCTATAAGCAAAAGAATCCAAAATTTTATAAAACTTTTAATTATTAAAACATGGGTTCAGTTAAAAGTGAGTGTGGCCTGGACCTCTATGGCAGTACTCAAATGTAAGTGTACATCAGGAATCACCTGGAGGGCTTGTTAACTCCTTGTTGGGCTGTAGTCCGAGCTTCTGATTTAGTAGATCTTCTAATACTGATTCAGGGGTCATAAGGAGGACCATTACAAATTTAGAGTAATGCTTTTAAAACTTAAGATAACTCTCATATCTCTGAAGTATACTGTCATAGATCTGATTTAAAGAACCTTAAAAATAAATTTTTAATTTTAAACTAGAAACTTAAGTGACTTCTAGTTTTAATGCATTATGAACTGGAATCAATATATATGCGTAAAAAAGTAAGTAAATAATATCGACCAAAATGTCTTAAGTTATTTTGTTTTGACCCCAAAAGGGGACTTGGATAGTGAACATAAAGTCAAACAAGAATCAGAAACTGGTTCATTCATCTCATTTAAAGGTGAAATTTGAGTACCTTCTATATGCCAAACATTGTCCTTGATGATGAAGCCAGAAGCAGCCTCAACATTTATACCGCTTACTATCTAATGGGGAAAATAATCACATATTCATTGTGCTCAGTGTTACAGAGAGGAAAATACAGGATATGTTTGAAGGAGATTGCAGGTTGAGAGAAAGGGAAGCTAGTTCTGAGAAAGTGTCATTTTAAGGTGAAGTTCAAAAAAAATAAAAATAAAGTTCAATTCTGGCTAGTGTTTCTCAGTGGTTAGAGAGAGCATCAGTCCATGCACTGGAGGGTCTTAGGTTCAATTCCATTTCAAGGGCACGTACCTGGGTTGTGGGTTTGCTCCCCACCCCTGGTAGGGGAATTTGTGGGAGGCAACCAGTCCTTGTATGTCTCTCACATTGATGTTTTACTCTCTCCTCTCCCTCCACTCTCTCTGAAAAGCAGTGGTGGTGGGGGGAGTGAAGTTCATAGTATGAGTAGGAATTTGGCTGTGAAAGAACATCCCAATAGGACTTCTCGAGTCAAAGGCCCAGATTCAAGAACCATGGTGCATTAAAAAGCATAAGCAGCTTATAGATAGAGGGGAATACTGCCACAAATTGCTGCCTCAGTGGAAGGCAAGAGAGAGCCAGGACTGGAAGTGATGTTAAGGGTTTTGAATAGAGCAGGGGTAAGTCAGTGAAAGGTTAAGTCTGGAGAGGGTCAAATTAAGTTTATACCTTTAAATAAATCATGTTTGCAAAGTCATGCATCAGTGTACATCTTATACTTATTGCACATCTGTATGTATCATGGTAATGTGGAGAATGTATTAGAATGGATGAAAAGATACCAGTTACTATGCTGTTAGTTCAACTCATGTAGCAGCAGGGGGTAGAGCGTGCTTAATGGACTTAAGAGATAGTAAGCACAATCAGTAGACCTTGAGGTTTAATTACATAAACAGAGTGAGGACAGATGAACCCCAGCCCTGGGGAGGGGGGTTGATGAAATTGGTATGGAACCTGCTGAATTTCCTTTGGCTGCAACACATCCAAGGTGGGTAGTCATTTGTATCTGGAGGTAAGAAAAATGGCTAAACTTGGACATTATTGCCCCAAGAACACTGAAAGTGGAAAATTTAGATGAGGATCATTTAAAGAGTAGGTAGAGAAATACACGAATCTAGAAAGAAGACTGAAAAATACCCAGCGAGGTAGGACTTTCTGGAAAAGTAAAAGGAAGTAGAAAACTTTTAGAAGATGAATAGGAGCAACTCCCCAGTCCCACTCAGAATTTAGGTAGAGTAAAAGTACTAGTAGATAGTTAACACTTACTGGATTTAGTGCCAGAAAAGTGATCTTAGTGAAAGTAGTCTCTGTGGAGTATGGAGGGAGAAAGCAGATTGGAGCCATTTGGGGAATAAATAACTGAGCAAACAATTATTTGTAATTTGGATTAGACAGCTTGTCTTTGAAGTGGAAAAGAAGATGGGATTACTGAGAAGATGAGGGAACTGCTAGAAAGAGTAGAAAGGGACAGCTTTCTGTTTTGTTTTGTGGAAGAAACTGCTGATGTAGGGAGCTGGTAATGAGAGAGAGTTTAAGCGGAAAGGTAGAAAATCGGTAGCTCAAGTTTCTCTTTGGAGTAAGATAAAGGGGTGCCATGGGTTTCAAAGCAAGATAACAAGGATTGGCCTTAGAACAGTCGCTCTTTTAATGCAGGGAAGAGGAAAACATAGTGTTATGCCTGGAAATTTGCTAGTGGCAGGACACAAGAGTTTAAGAGCAGATAACATTTTCTATGAGTGATAAGAGTTTCTGAGAATTATTAAAGACATTGAGAGAGATGGAGAATGTTTAACATAGACACTGAAACATAGAACATATTTTCTATGAAACATTATAGGTAGGCAGTGTTGAGAGCCTTGCTAAGATAAGGGAACCTAAATTTATAATAATAATACCAGATCTCTTAGTTATATTGTTTTCTCTGGAATCACCAGAAATCAAAAGTTCTAAGGAGGAAGTCAAAGAATAGCTATAAAATAATTGAGCAAATGTATTGGGAAAAGTGGAACGTCAAAGGTTAGGCATTTGGGGATAATGACTACACCTGGGTGTGACTACACAATTATATCTGATTGTGTGTGTGTGTGTCTTTGAGTCTGTGAATCCTCACCTGAGGATTTTTTCCCATTGATTTTTAGAGAGAGTTGAAGGAAGGAGGAGAGACAGAGAGAGAGAAACATTGATGTGAGAGAGACACATCGATTGGTTGCCTCCCACATGCACCCTGATCCAGGGCCAGGGATGGAGCTTGCAACTGAGGTACATGACCTTGACCATAATTGAACCCACTATCCTTCAGTCCGAGGACCGACCTCTAACTACTAAACTAAACAGACCCAAGGCTATATCTGATTTTTTGGTTTCAGGTTATAGAAAATATCTTACTGCTTTTGGAGCTGATTGTGGGTATTTATAGTAAATCCAAGGACTTAGGGTTCATGTTAAAAGAAATAATTGTTAGGAAATATGGGAACTTTCATATTTCTTAGGCATATTCTAAAAATAATTCTGTAATTAAACCAAGATTTATTTATATTTGCTTCCTTCCAAAAGTAAGTGTTAAGTAGAGGAATTTCAAATCAAAATGAGGTGGTGTTTTGGTTCCTAAATATTGTCTTACATCTGAATCATCTAATACCTGGGAATTGTTTACCTGGAAGTATATATTTCTTGGGTCAACTCCAAACTCAATGGAATTTCTAAGAGCCTCCTTTCCCATACTTCCTCTTGTGTAAAAGCACAAAGAGAGGGATTAACATAAATCAGAATAGCCAAGTAGTATGCTGGGAACTTGAGCTATATTATTGTAAAGCATAGATTTCTTATTTAACAACTGCACTTTCAGTACATTCTAATAGGGAGTACAAAATATTACATGGAAAGATTGTTCTTACTAGAATATAGAGGGAAAAAAAGTTTTATAAAAGCATCCTGTGTTAATTTCTGGTTAATGTGAATATTTTGAACTGTCACTCCATTAAACCCTCATAAGTAATAACATTTGCAAACTTTCTTTCTAGACTCGCTATCCCATGTTGGAGAACCCTGAGGTTTTGAGGAAAACAGCAGATGACTTTCTTAACAGAGTTGCGCTGACAGATGCTTATCTTTTATACACACCTTCTCAAATTGCCCTGACTGCCATTTTATCTAGTGCTTCTAGAGCAGGAATTACTATGGAAAGGTACTAATTTGTGTTTTAACTTAGATCATTCAGTCACTCAGTTTATTCCCTACTGCAGTGGTCAGCAGATTCAACAGAGCCAAATATCAAAAGTACAACGATTGAAATTTCTTTTGAGAGTCGAAAACCGACTTCTGCACATGGGCCACAAAGTTTTAATCACACTGTATGTATGCACCCACACGTGGTATTTTGTGGAAGAGCCACAGTCAAGGGGCCAAAGAGGCGCATGTGGCTCTCAAGCAGCAGTTTGCCAACCACTGCCTACTGGAATCTGAGTTTTTAAGTAAGGTTCATTTTGTGAATAGAGTCCTATATATCTCCTATGGCTGGAAGGGTTAGGGCAACTGAGGGAAGAAATGAAATCACTTTTTAAGGAAATCTTTAAAAATCGAGTATGATATTTTTGAGCTAAGAGGATTCGTTTACGACTAAAGAAGTAAATCAGATGATCTTCAAAAGACTGATACGGCTATCAGTATATGGCAAATTTAGAAGTTTTGTGAACTAGTGATCAATATGAGTGCCAAAAATATGTCTGCCTTGATTTATCATTATTCTGCTATGTGGCATATGGAATTTAGTAAAGATTTAGTGAATGAATAATACTTTAAAGAATGTCCAAATGAATTGCAATTCAGTTGTAAATAGTAATAGTTAATGCATAAATGCACAATGGGAATGAGGTTCATTAAGGATTTTTGGCCTATAATTTTCTTTTAAAATTTTTATTTTATTTTTTATAATGTTTTTGTCTGGTTCTGGATTCAAGGTAATACTGGGTTCACACAATTAGCTTGGGACCCTTCCCTCCTCTTCAATTTTTTTTTGGAATGATTTGAGAGGAATTGGTGCTAATTCTTAGAATGTGTATTAAAATTCACCTGTGAACCTATCTGGTCAAAAATTTTATTGTTTTTTTTTTGTTTGTTTTTTTTTTTTTACCAATTTGATTTTATTAGTAGTTAATTGGTTTGTTCACATTTTCTTTATCTTCTAGATTTGGTCTTCAAAGATTATATGTTTCTAGGAGTTTAGCCATTTCTTTCAGGTTGTCTAATTAGTTGGAATATAATTGTTATTTGTATTTCTTTATAATCCTATGCATTCCTGTGTTGTCAGTCATTAAGCTTTCACTTCTGATTTTATTTTGATTCTCTTTTTCTTGATGAGTCTGGTTAAAGGTTTATCACTTTTCTTTATCGTCTCAAAAAAAAAATAGCTCTTGGTTTTAATGATCTTTTTATATGTTTGTAGACTTATTTTATTTCAATTCTGATCTTTATTATTTCCTACTACTCACTTTGGGTTTTGTTCTTTTTCTAGTTTCTTTTTAGATTTAAGGTTATATTGTTTATTTGAGATTTTCTTGTTTCTTGAGGTGTAGGCCTGGATTATTGTGAATTTCCCTCTTAGAACTATATTCCATAGATTTAGGGTTTTCAACTTCATGTGTCTCAAGGTATCTTATGATTTCTTCTTGACCTCGTTAACCCATTCATTATTTAGTAGCTTGTTAATTTAGCTGGGACCGGTTTGGCTCAGTGGATAGAGCGTCGGCCTGCGGACTGAAAGGTCCCGGGTTCGATTCCGGTCAAGGGCATGTACCTGGGTTGCGGGCACATCCCCAGTGCGGGGTGTGCAAGAGGCAGCTGGTCGGTGTTTGTCTCTCATCGACGTTTCTAACTTTGTCCCTCTCAATTCCTCTCTGTGTAAAATCAATAAAATATAATTTTTAAAAAATTTAGTAGCTTGTTAATTTAGCCTCCAGGTGTTTGTATTTTTCCGCTTTCTTCTGTAATTGATTTCTAGTTTCTTAACATTGTATTGGAGAAGGTGCTTGATATAATGTCAGTCTTCTTAAATGTGTCCTAACATATTGTCGATCCTGGAAAATGTTCCAATTGTGCTTGAAAAGAATGTATATTCTGCTTTTTTTGAGTGAAATGTTCCATAAATATCAAGTACATGCATCTGGTCTAATATTTCATTTAAGGCCCCTGTTTACTTGTCAGTTTTCTGCCTGGATAATCAATCTATTTATATCAATATGGTGTTAAAATCCCCTACTATTCCTGTGTTAATGCTGATCTCTCCTTTTGTGTCCACCAATATTTGCTTTACATATTTAGGATCCTACATATGTGTGTGTGCGTGCGTGTGTGTGTGTGTACACATACATGTATATGTTGTCAGTCCCCTGCTCATACTCTTCTTCTGGTACCCTCTGATGCAAGTAGTGAATGTTTAATCTTATCCCAAAGTACCTTAAACTGTCCTCACATTTTGTATTCTTTTTTTCTTTTCGCTATAATATTTCAATTGGGTATTTCTTGCTGCCTAGAATTGCAAATCACTGATTTGATTATTTGCTTTATCTAAAATACTGTTGATTCTATATAATGTATTCTTCGTTTCAGTTTTTATATTCTAAATTTCTGACTGTTTACTTAATGGTGTGTGTTCACTGAGTTCATCTCTTCTCCTTTTTAAAGTTTTGACTCATTTCATTTGAGACTTGTTTCTGTCTCATTTTGCCTACCTCCATGTGTTTTTCAATGTATTAAGTACATCTGTTACATCTCCTAGTGTGGTCAGAGTGGCCTCATGTAGTATGTGTCCTATTAGTTTCAGTTGTATAACCCAGTAAATAGACATTTATATAACTTACAAAGTGATCACTTAATGAACTAGTACCCATATGACACTATACATAGCTATTACAATACTAGAGGCCCAGTGCATGAATTCATGCACCAGTGGGGCCCCTCGGCCTGGCCTGCAGCATCGAGCCAAAACCAGCTTTCCCACGTCCCCCAAGGCGTCCCAGATTGCCAGAGAATGCAGGTCAAGCTGAAGGATCCTCCCTCTCCCCCCCACCCCCATTGGCCAGCCAGGGAGGGACTGTGGGAGGGCTCCAGGGAGTGTCTGGCCCGTCTTGCTCAGTTCCAGTCAGCCGAACCCCACCAGTAAGTTAACCTACCAGTTGGAATGTCTGCTTCCTGGGGGTCAGTGCATGTTATAGCGAGCAGTTGAATGGCCTTAGCATATCATTAGCATATTATGCTTTGATTTGTTGAATGGACCTCTGGATGACTGGGCACTTAGCATATTAGGCTTTTATTATATAGGATTATTGACTATAGTCCCTGTGATATAAGTAACATCCCCATAACTATTCTGTAACTACCAATTTGTAAGTTTTAATCCCTTTATCTTTTCCATCTAGCCCCCAGCTCCTCTCTCATTTGGCAACTGTCAAAATATTCTCTGCATCTATGAATCTGTTTTTATTCTGCTTATTTGTTTACTTTGATTTTTAGATTCCACATATAAGTGAAATAATTTGGCATTATTATTTCTCTCTTAGACTTATTTCACTTGGCACAATTCTCTCTAGGTCTGTGGTTGGCAAATTGCGGCTCGTGAGCCACATGCGGCTCTTTGGCCCCTTGAATGTGGCTCTTCCACAAAATACCACGGTCTGGGCGAGTCTATTTTGAAGAAGTGGCATTAGAAGAAGTTTAAAAATTTTGTCTCTCAAAAGTAATTTTAATCGTTGCACTGTTGGTATTTGGCTCTGTTGACTAATGAGTTTGCTGACCTCTGCTCTAGGTTCATTCTTGTTGTGGCAAATGGCGAGATTTCATTCTTTTTTATGGCTGAGTCATCTTTCCTTGTACAAGGTGAGGCAAAAGTTAGGTTTATAGTGGTTGGGTATGCAAAACATAGTGTGTTTTTTTGTTTGTTTGTTTGTTTTTACATATGAACAGCTGTAACCTGCTTTTACCCCAGCCTGTGTAAGTGCATCACTTCTTTATTCACTCATCTATTGATGGACACTTAAGTTGCTTTCATCTCTTGGCTTTTATAAATAGAGGTCTGGTGCAAGGATTCGTGCACTGGTGAGGTCCTTTGGCCTGGCCTGTGGGGATTGGGTCAAAACCGGCTCTCTGGCATCCCTCGAAGGGTTCCGGATTGCGAGAGGGCAGTTCCCGGGTGACGCATCCCAGAATCAGGCTCCCTCCTCTCTGCTTCCAGTTGCTTCTCCTGAGAACCACAGCTGCCAAGTCACTGCAGCTCGACAGTGCCTGTGTTGAGCGTCTGCCCCCTGGTGGTCGGTGCACATCATAGCTACCAGTTGGAGGGTTGTTTAGGCTTTTAGATAGATAGATAGATTTTTTTTAATTTATTGATATTTTACAGAGAGGAAGGGAGAGAGCTAGAAACGGCGATGAGAAAGAAACATCGACTAGCTGCCTCTTGCACACTCCCTACTGGGGATGTGCCCGCAACCACAGTACATGCCCTTGACCGGAATCGAACCTGGGACCTTTCAGTCCGCAGACCGACGCTCTACCACTGATCCAAACCGGCTTCGGCTACTGGGTCCTTCTTTGTGTCTTGTTATATGTATTGCCTTTGTTTTAGGGGCTATTTTGTTTCGTATGAATATTGCCAACAGTTTTTGTGGTGGTGTTTTTCTTTCCTTTTTCATGAAACGTCTTTTTTTTATTTTTTATTTTTTTTATCCTTTTACTTTCAGTCTGTATATTTCTTTCTATCAGAACTGGGTCTTTTGTAGACATTGCATGTAATGGTACTGTTTTCATATCCATTCAGCCATTCATTCAGTCTTTTGATTGGAGCATTTAATCCATTTGCATTTAAAGTGGTTGTTTATAGGTATGTATTTATTACCAGTTTATATTTTTTATCTTCATAAAGATGATACTTTAACGTACCTTGCAATTCTGGTTTAGTCGTGATGAATTCCTTTAGTTTTTTCTTGTGTGGGAAGCTCTTTATCTACCCTTTGATTCTGAAGGATAGCTTTGCTGGGTAGAGTAATCTTGGTTGTAGATCCCTGCTTTTCATCACTTTGACTATTTCATGCCAATCTCTTTTGCCTGCAGAAGTTTCTATTGAGAAATTAGCTCATTCTTACAGGAGCTCCCTTGTATGTAACTTAACTGCTTTTCTCTTGCTGTTTTAAAAATTTCCCTTTGTCTTTAACCTTTGGAATATTAATTAGATGTGTCTTGGTGTGAAACTCTTTGTGTTCATCTTGTTTTGGACTTCAGAGCTTTTTTCTTCACCAGATTAGGGAAGTTTTGTCATTATCAAATAGGGTCTCAGTCTCTTGCTTTTTCTCTTCTCCTCCTAGTACCTCTAAGATGAGGGTATTATTACACTTGGTGTTGTCCCAGAGATCCCTTAAACTATTCTCTTTTTTAGTTCTCTTTTCTTTCTGCTGCTCTGAAAGGGTGTTTTCTGCTACCTTATCTTCCCAGTCACTGATTTGATCCTCTGCTTCATCTAATCTGCTATTGATTCTTTCTGGTATATTCATTTCAGTTGTTAGGCTCTTCATTTCTTACTGTTCTTTTTTATGGTTTGTGTCTTTTTTTATGCTGCTGAAATTCTCACTGCATCTCATAAGCATTTTTATAACCATTGTTTTGAACTCTGTAATTGGTAGTTTGCTTGCTTCTGTTTTATTTAATTCTTTTTCTTGAGATTTCTCCCATTCTTTTATTTGGGACATGTGTCTTTATCTACCATTTTGGCTGCATCTTTGTGTTTGTTTCTGTGTATTAGGTAGATCTGCTGGTATGGTGGCTTTATGTAGTAGGTGTCCTGTAGGGCACAGCCTCTCTGGTCCCCTTAGCTGAGTGCTCCAAGTGCTACCCCATGCGAGTTGGTTACACCCTCCTGTTGTGGTTGAGCTTTGATTGCTGTTGGTTTGTGAATGCGAGGGATCTACCCTCAGGTCGATTAGCATCTACAGGGTTGGAGTTGCTCTGCAGGGGCTGACCCTACACAGCAGAATTTGCTTCAGCAGAGCGCTCTGCCAGCAGTGTCCGCACCTGGAGTGTGTCACTGTGCAGAGTCAGGTGATACTTCAGCACGGTCTGAAGCTAGCTACCATGTTGCACTGTCTCTGGGGTCTCCCAGAAGATGTAGGCCACGGTCAGCTATCATCCGTGTTCTGCCCAAGGCCACCCAGCATGAGCAACAAAATGTTAAGTAGATGATGGTTGCTTCTGCTGGGCTTGGAGTTGCCCAGGAGAGGTCAGGCTGTGAACTGAGTCCAGCTGCTAGTGCCCACTTAGCAAGAGGTAAGCAGCATGCTGAGGCCAGAAGTTGCTTGTTTGGGGTTTGTGAACCTTTGAGAGAATATAGGAAAATCCAGCTCATAAGCCAGGACAGGATGTGTATATGGAAAGACCATTAGAAGTAGATTGGATGGGTCAACAGTAGGGTGGGGTAGGTCTCAGGAAATTTCCAGGGCCAAACAGGTTGATGGAGACTCAGATGTGCCTGTCTGCATCTGCAGGGGAAGGGCTCAGCAAAGGAGCAATAGCCTCTGCCAGCACTTTAGGTGGGAGAAAGCTAACCCTCCAGCCCTTGCCCCAAAGCCAGACAATTCAGTTCCTTCTTAAGTGTCTTTGGTGCCTTTCCAACAACTGCCCCAGTGTTGGATCTTAGGGAATAAGTCCATAGATGAGCCCTTTAAGAGGGTAACCTGGGACTCCAGCAGCCCTCCCTCTTATTCAGCCACCCCAGAAGTTATTGGGTCTTCTCTTCCCAGGACTAGGACACTGGGCTAGGGAACCTAGTGTGAGGCTGGGGCTCACCTCCTGCAGGGGACCTCCATGGCCAAGATATGTGCCTGTGATTTTTAATCACCACACGTGGGTGCAGACCACTCTGTTCTGCCTCTCCACCCTCCCACCAATCTCAAGGTGACTTCTTTATATCCTTAATTATAGGACTTATATTCAGCTAGATTTCACATGGTTTTCAATGATGGTGGTTCTGTAGTTGTAATTTTAATGTGGTTTTGGGAGGATATAAGTACCATGTTTACCTACTCCATCTTGAATGGAAGCCTTCCTTCTAATTGCCACACCCTGAGTGATTGAACAGCTCATTTTGCATCTCTATCCCTGTTACCAGTCTTGGTATGGCTTCTTTTTTCTATCCTGTTCTAAAGATGGTTTTCTGTGATGGTTCTATAATTTTGTTGTAGTTTTTATATGGTCGTGGGAGGAGGCAAGCACAATGCTAACCTACTCTGCCATCCTGAGTGAGAGTAGGTTAATTGCTTTTACATTATTGCTGATTTCAAAAAGGGATAAAAAGCCCTTGTGCTATTGTTATATTCTGGATAATGCTTTAGATTATTACTCATAGGATGTTCTGTTGTTAGTTCTGGGTTTTCTTCTTTTTCATTGGACTTAGAGCTTTATTTCTTATTTCCTAGCTTGACTTCTTAGATATTCTTGTTTGACTTTGGATTTTTCAAATCAAAATATTAAAATTTTAATTCAAGATTGAAATTAGAAGTTGCTAACTTAAAACAATTTCACAGTTAAAGAATGTGGTCCTCATCTTTAAAATAAGGTTTAGACTCATAAAGTTTATATATTAAACACTTAACATTAAAAGTAATAACTGTTGCTACTGTTATTTTCATACCTCTAAAAGCTTATATATTATAGATATTAAACATCTTTTAATGCAATATAAATTATAAATCAGTAAGACTATAAGAGCTGTAAGTTATAGTTTTGTGGAGTTCAAATTACTGTTTTTTTAATACATTGTGAATAAATTTTAAAACTGTCTTGTTGATGAGTGCTGGCTGGGTTGGCTCAGTTGGTTAGCGCATTATCCTGATTCATATACCCAAGTTATGTATGGTTTTGATCCCCAGTCAGGGCACATAGAAGAATCAACCAATGAATGCATAAATAAGTGGAACAACAAATCAGTGTTTTGTGCCCTTTCCCTTTGTTCCTCCCACACTCCTTCCCTCTCTCTAAAATCAATAAGAAAAAGATTTTTAATTGACCTTGATGATGAAATGAACATGGAAGAACATAATTTGTCAGGTTTTCTCAAAATGCTGTATGTGTCTAATAGATTACAACTTTTTTCCTTTTTTTACCAGTTATTTATCAGAAAGTCTGATGCTGAAAGAGAACAGAACTTGCTTATCACAGTTATTAGATATAATGAAAAGTAAGTAAAAGAACTTTATAAAATATTCTATAACAAAGCTACTTTGTAAAATATCTTAATATTTAAGTTGATCGAGATAACATTGTTTACTTTTGTTGAATTATTGTATCATGGAGGCATGAAGGATATATCAGTGGGGAGCAAATAGAAGATACACGAATATCTGCAGACCTTTTTGGTTGACACACCTTGGGGCATTATGGGGGCTGCTATCAGCAGCTAGTAGGTAGAAGTAAAAATGCTGCTAAATATTTTAAAATTCACAGTATATTAAATTTTCAATATAAATTATAAATCTGAAAAATATCTCTCAAAGATAGTCATGTCCTAATCCCTGGAGACTATAAATCTTAACATATATGCAGATGTTATTAAGTCAAGAATCTTGAGATGGGGAGATGATCTTGGATTATCATCCAAGATGCAATCACAGGAGTCCTCATTAGAAAAGGCAGAGAGGGAGGTGTGACACAGGGGAGGCAATGTGAAGAAAGCAGAAAATTGGAGTGTTAAGACCACAAGCCAAGGGATGCTAGCAGCCCACCAGAAGCTGGAAAAGGGAAGGAATCCATTTCCCCTGGGGCAGGAGTGGGGAAAGTCCAGTTGGAGGGCCTAGCCCTGTCTAGGCATTAGGGATGAATTAATTAAATATTTGACTAAATATAGCAGGCTAATTTTTTTTTTAATTTTTATCATTTAAATATTACATATTTTTCCTTTTTCCCCTATTGACCTCTCCCCGGCCGCTCCCACTCCCCAGCATGTGCCTTCACCCCTCGACTGTCTGTGTCCATTGGTTGTGCTTCTATGCATGCATACAAATCCTTTGGTTGATCTATTAACACACACACTACCACCACCCCCCTTTACCCACTTGTGCCTTCCCTCTGAGGTTTGACGGTCTGTTTGATGCTTCTTTGTCTCTGGATCTGTTTTTGGGTTCATCAGTTTATGTTGTTCATTCATTATATTCCACAAATGAGTGAGATCACATGATATTTATCTTTCTCCTACTGGCTTATTTCACTTAGCATAATGCTCTCCAAGTCCATCCATGCTGTTGCAAATGGAGGGTTCTTTTTTACAACAGCATAGTACTCCATTGTGTAGATGTACTACATTTTTTTTTATCCACTCATCTGCTGTTGGGCACTTAAGCTGTTTCCAAATTGTAAATTGTGCGAGCAGACTAATTTTTATATTGATAATTTTGCATGGCTGGCAAATGATGTTATAATTATCCAAATGGCTCTTGGCAGAAAAAATGTTCAGTGCCCCTGCCCTAGGGCCTCCAGAGAGAGGGTGGCTTTGCCAAAATTTTGATTGTGGCCTAGAGAAAATGACTTCAGGTTCTTGGGCTTCAGAACTAAGAGGATACATTTATGTTATTTTTAAGCTGTACTAAGTTTGTGGTAATTTTTAATAGTAGACTCAGGAAGATAATATAGCCCCTTACAACAAAAAATTATCCGGCCCAAACTATCAATGGTGCTGATGTTGAGAAACTGTTCTAGGGGTTGAATAGAACTTCTGCTTATCGGATTGGCTAGATTAACCAGCCCTGAGTGCTCTTCATTCTTGTCTGTGGCACTGAATGCTCATAGCTACTTGGCTACTCTTTAGGATTAAAAGAAAATTGTATTTTTCCCCAAAACTTTTTGAGCCAATGTCCTTGTAATCAAATTTGTAGTTTAATTAAATGCTGACTAAACCAGTAAAATTTGAGATTGAAGATTTGGATCTTGGATGATAATAGAAAATGGTTATAATTTTTATATTTTTCATGTTAAAATGCTTCAGGACATAGAAGCATCACTTCATGCTGTTTGAAGTGATCTGGAGGACTTCCCCCTTTTAATTGATTTATGAATGACAAACTATAGGTTTTCAGTTATACTACTACACTATACACTTCCAGTGCTGTGATTTGGTCTTAAATAAATAGGATAATGGAATTTAGTAATTAGAAGAAGCCTTAAAGATAATACACTGTGATCATTTTATAGCTGACAATTTTATTGCTGACTTCTCCTCAGTACCTTAATTTTATCCCCCTTATTTTAACATGAAATAGAAATAGCTCTTGTTGAAATACTCAGAACTGTAACGATATTAAGGTATCTTCTCCATCTTTTTTTCAGAACTAAGATGCTGTCCTGGGGAATTGAGTCACAAGTATTAATTTAGTTGAAAAAATATTCAACTGCCTTATGAAAGCAAGGCTTATTATCTAGTATTAGAAATCAGTGGGATAGTCACCCATTTTCAGCATGTGGCTGGCTAATTTTGATATTTATATTATTTGGCTTATTGTTGTTGAGTAAAAGTTTAAGTAGAGGAGGTTTCTGCAGTAACAAAGTACTGACATAGTAGTTTATTTTTAAGCCTAAAAAGGATATTTTTGTTTTCTTAGTGATGTTTCATTACATAGGTTTTGTATTAAGGCAGAGAATCATCAATTAATATTTTTAATACGCTTCCTCCTTTTATTGCATTCTATGTAATAACTAGAGGCCCAATGCACGAAATTCGTGCAGGAGTCGGCCTTCCTTCCCAACTGCTGGCACCAGCTTCCCTTTGGCACCTCCAGCCGCCAGCAGTCACCCAGGAACCGGGCTTCGTCCAGAAGGACATCTGGTCTAATTAGTATATTACGCTTTTATTATTATAGATGGTTTCCTTTGTTAGTATGAAGTATACTCTTGACCCAGGATAGAACATTATGAATATAGTTAGTGACAGGGAACAAAACATGTTTACTAAATCATGAAGAAATTATTAAAAAGCTTTAAAACTGAGCAAAAAGTGAGCACAGAGGGTTAGAAAAAAAAACAACTATATTGTAGGGCATGCTTGTCTTTATGCTATGCATAATATGGACTAAGCACTGGCAGTTATAATTATTTGATCTAGAAGTATGGTGTTCATTATATTCTAATGCAGAGTACAAATCCTGAAAAGAGGAATAACTAATTTCAAGAGTGTTTTGTTGTTCTGTAACAATATGAAAAAATATTCAACTGCCTTATGAAAGCAAGGATTATTATTTAGTATTAGAGGCCTGGTGGTGCATGAATTCGTGCAAGGATGGGATCCCTCAGGGTGGCCTGCAGCCCTGCCTGGCACCACCCTTTCACCTGCTCCACCGTCCTCAGTCACACTCTCTTTGGGGGCCATCAGGGCTGGCAGTGCCTCCACTGCTGGCACCTGCCACGTTCCACACCACCACCTGGTGGAGAACGTAGGTCATAGCGAGCAGTCGAATTCCCAGTTGAATAATTTGCATATTGGGCTTTTATTATAGGATAATTTTTTTTTCTGAATAGGTATGAGAAACTTGGTAAAGAAATATGAACCACCCAGACCTGAAGAAGTTGCTGTTCTGAAGCAGAAGTTGGAGAGATGTCATTCTGCTGAGCTTGCACTTAACGTAATTACGTAAGTAGTTGTGATGGTGTTATTAAAAAATAGATAATGTGACTCCTTGAACTTCTTGCCCTTTTAATTTGAGGACCAAGTATACTGTACCAAACTTATTTTAACTATAGGTAAATGGCATATTTTCTTTCATAGGTAAACTATATTAAGGACAGAACCAATAGTAAAATGTGCTGTTAGACTTTTTTTTTTTTCAGCCATAAAGAATACCCATATGTCACTCAGTGACTTGTAGTCTGTATGTGGAAATCACCATATTCAGGATTTTTATGCTTTGCAAATTGAAGGATCTACTTAAATCTAATCTTTTAGGAATTTAAACAGTTGAGAATCTGGTCAGATAACAGGAATAGTAAAACTGCAAACTGTGGCTTAGCAAAGAACTTAAAATTGGTTGATTTCACTACTGGGTTTCATTGGTAACTAATAGAAATGATTACAAAGAAGAAAAGAATGTTGACTTTAATGAGTGAAAATAGTCCACTGTGGTCTAAAAATATTAAATGGAAAAATCCAGAAATAAACAATTCATAGATTTTAAAATTGCATATTATTTTGAGTAGTATGATGAAATCATGCAGTGTCTCACTCTGTCCCACCTGGGACGTGAAGCATCCTTTTGTCTCGCATATCCACATTGTACATACAGCACAGTAAGGTAACTGAGAGACTGCATGACTTAGTACAGTATGTTAGTACACTTTATTAGTTACTAGAGGCCCGATACGTGGAATTCATACAAGGGGCTCAGCCCTCAGCTTCCGCCCGTCCAGCCCCAGCTTTGCTTGGAATGTCATTTGGCTGTCTGGTCTAATTAGCATATTACAGTTTTATTATAGACTAGATGCCTGGTGCACAAAAATTTATGCACTGGGGGCTACCCCCTCAGCCCAACCTGCCCCCTCACAGTACGGGAGCCCTCAGGGGATGTCCTACTGATGGCTTAGTCCCACTGTCTACCAGAGCGGGCCTAAGCTACAGTCTGGCCTCCCTCTGCGGGAGGCGACCAGGCTGATCAGGGGAAGGTGCTGCCCCCATCAGCCCACTGCCAGCCGCCGTGGCTGCCTGCCCTTGGCCCTCACAGCCATGGCAGCTTTGTCCAGAAGGACATTCAGCTGTCTAGTCAAATTAGCATGTTATGCTTTTATTATTATAGACTAGTGGCCTGGTGCATGAAATTCATGCACATTAAAAGGGAATTAGAGGAAATATTTTAATATTGCTAATTATCCTTTCTTTATAATAGAAGTGTGAGAGATGAACAAAAATTAGTAAAATGTATATGAAAATAATATATAAATTTATTAAACAATAACAGCATCACGTCTCCTGGCTGGCACTGGGCTGGGGACACAATCTCACATCCCCCAGTTTCACCACGTGCAGCCCCACCCACCCGTGTCTGCCACCTCCTGCTGATTGATCATCATGGCATGAGGGTGACATGACCATTTCTCTCTTTATTATATAGGATTGTTGGTAATCTCTTACTGTGCCTAATTTGGAATTAAACTTTATGATGGGTTTGTGTCTATAGGAAAGAACTGTATATATAGTTTGGTACTTTCTGCAATTTCAGGCATCCACTGGGGGTCTTAGAACATACCTCCCCACACACTCATAGGGGGGAATACTGAATTGCAACACTGGTAATTTTCTTTTTACAGGAGATTTGAATTTAAACTATGGCTTGGCAAATTACATAGCCCATGGGCCAAATCCAGGCCACTATCTGTTTTTAGGAATAGTTTTATTGGAACACTAGAGGCCCTGAGCATGAAACTTGTGCATGGGGAGGGGGGAAATTTGTTAGCTCAGTCTGCATCTTCTCCAATCTGGGACCCCCTCGAGGGATGTCGGACTGCCCGTTTAGACCCGATCCCGGGATCAGGCCTAAATGGGTAGTCGGACATCCCTCTCACTATCCAGGACTGCTGGCTCCCAACCATTCACCTACCTGCCGGATTGCTTCTGTCTCCCAGCTTCATCGACACCTAACTGCTCCCCAGCCAGCCCGATTGCTCCTACTACCCTCATCTGCCAGCCAGATCACCCCTAACTGCCTAGAATTGCCCTCCCCTACAGGCCTGGTCACCCCCAACTGCCCTCCCCTGCAGGTCTGGTCACCCCCAACTGCTTACAACAGCCCTCCCCTGCAGGCCATCTTGTGACTACCATCTTTGACCACATGGGGCAGCCACCTTATGTCTTGGAGTGATGAACAATTTGCATATTACTGTTAGATAGGATAGCTATACCCTTAGTTTTCATACTATCTATAGCTGTTGGATAATTGAGGCAGAAACTGATGGTTATGGCCTACAAGGCGTAATATATTTACTATTTGGCCTTTCAACATATAATTTTTCACCCTCTGGATTAAGTGATAGAACGTGCATTAATCTTACTCTTCTAACTACTTAATTGCCTGAGTTTCTATCTTACTCAGATTTACCACCCACTTTGTACTGTGCCAAGCAGACTCTACATTTCCATGTGTACTTGAAGGGTGCTTCTCAAACTGTAAAGGACTGTTTTTTTAAATTCATGACAGACCTATACGTTTATAAAATAAAACAAATTACTACAAAATGAGTAAAAAAGACATAATACAAAGCTTAAATTTTATTAGACTCGATAGTTTCTAAACACACGCTCAGTTTATTTATTCATTGACACTAGAAATGGTTATTGGACCACACTTGAAAGCACTGCTTTAGGATAAAATACTTGTTTTTGTTGGTCTTTAAATTTTTTTTTCTTACACAAATAATAGCTATATCATCATTATGAAAGTCAGTCAATCAGTACAGGCAAACCAAAGTTCTCTTTGACCAAAAGCCAAAGTCCCGTTTTGTCCTCAGAGATAACTTAAGTGTTTACCTTTGCCAGCCTTCTCTCCTGTATTAGTGTATGAAATAATTTTTCTTTTTTAATGTTTTCACACACATACAACATATAATAGTATTAATCTTTAATTCTTACTTTCTGGATGGGGGAAAAATAGTATTTTAATTTGCATTATCTATTATACACCTATTTTTCTTCTGTTGTTTCTTTCACTTTGTGATATGTATATATCTAAATATCGATATCTTAGCCTATTTTGTTTTTTCAACTGTTAAAAACATTTAGAATTATGAATCTGAAGTAGAAATTAATATTTTTTTCAAATAACCTGTTGTAGCAGCATTTTTAAATATTTCATAATTTGCCTTATTAAATTCCTACATATAGTTGTTTTACCTATCTAATCATTTTAATCTGTTTAACTCTTTGCTAATATCACACTTTTAGTTATAGCTTTTATGTATGATGTTTTGATGAGAACTGCAGTACAGTCCCCTCCCCACACTTCCTTTTCAGATTTATCAAATTTCCATAAAAGTTTCTAAACACATTTTTTCAAGCCAGAGTGAGACTTGATGAGTTCCATGAAAAATTTTATTAGGATTTTAATTAGAATTACATTGAACCTAAGGATTAATTTAAAAGGTATTATCTTTATAATTCTTCATCTCTTTCCATGTATCCAGGCTTTGTTTTCAGAATATGTATTTCATATAATCTTGCTAATTTATTTTATAGTCACGTTGCCATTTATTACATTGCTTTTTGATGGTTGCCTAATTACAGGAAGAAGAGGAAAGGGTATGAAGATGATGATTATGTCTCAAAGAAACCCAAACGTGAAGAGGTATGTTCTCCAAAGGTAACTATTATTCCTATTGTGCAAGCACACACACATATATATGTGTGGTTTTGAAAGCATTCATACTTTTTTGCATCCTCTTCCTTCATGTACATGGTCCATTATTACAGGGATATTCCTTACTTCTGTCAGTGTTTTCTTGCTGAAGAATCCTTCGTATGGTTATAAAAAGCAGCAGGGATAGACATACAATTTATATGCTATAAATTTTTACCCTGCATGGATTCTTCTGCCCTTAAAAAGAAATTGTAACCTGGTAAGTCAGATATAAATGAATACTAGTAATCAGAGGCAGAAGGTCACAACTATAATATTTGTCCTGTCATCGGAGTAGTTTGTGGGACCATGCCTATAAACAACTACTAATATTCCTGGTTTATCTACCTTCTGTAATCAGCATATTAAAAGAACATTTTCCTAGAGGGAGGCAAGGAGGTAAACAATACTGGTTAATGTTTCAATATAATGTTATCCTTATTACATCTTCTTTCCTTCTTAGGAAGAATGGACTGATGATGACCTGGTAGATTCTCTCTAACCATTTGAAATTGATTTGTCAATGCTAACAAATCAACAGAAGGATGAAGCTTATCTGGCATTTAAATTTCTTTAAAAATGAAATAATGTGAAAGCATCAAAATACAGTAAACTTTTTTATTTATTTGAAAGTTTCTCCTTTCAGGGTAGCTTTATGTGAAATAAGATGTTCAAAGGACCCAGAGTAGCACCTGGTTTGGATAATCTGATCCCCCTAACCCCCATGACTAAAAATCAAATTAGTCTTCCTATAGTAGCCAAAGCTGTAAATTACTTGCCTATGTTGTTTTAAACAAAATGCAATAAACATCCCTTTTGAAAAAAGGCACCATTATATGTGGTTTGTTAAATGCCATCCTAATATACTTAGCTATTTGTATGTTACCACTTAACTATAAAATGTATGAAAGCTAGGTATTTGTTTTCCTCAATTATTTAACTGAAAACATCTCCGAATGAGTTTCTTAAAAAGAAATCAAATAGGCAATATTTAGTAGTTGTCTAGATTAAAAACCTAAAGGTTGGGTAGTAGCAAATTGTATGTTTAGTTTTATAATTAACCTGTTAGATTGCCATATAAATGTGTTAGTTACTATAAATTTTTCAGGTTAAGTGTATTATTCAATAAATGTATTTTAAATAGAAAGTAGTAGATATAAATGTAGACTATAGCACCAAATTACTTTGGTGTGAATCATGGCTACCTCCACTTTGGGCAAATTACTAAAGCTCTCTGTGCCTATTTTTTCACCAGGGAAAAATAATGCCTCTGTATGCTAAGTGTTCAATAAATGTTATTAATAGCATTTGTTTAATAACTGTAATCTTACTATTCAGTTTCTAAGTTGGAATCAAATTATGGATGTTTGTCAAATTTCTTCTGGAAAACTGGGGTGAAGGAATTGAGAAACTCAACTGCCCTGAATCTATGTTTTATGGATGCATACCTTTACTCACTGTCAATGTATCCATGGCTACTTTCCATAGGAGTGTAGGTACCATTTTAATTACATCTTAGTATTTGAACACAATATTTACTGCATATGTGTTCTTTTTAATAATTCCTTTCATTTTAGGTATGAGCTTTTTTGGTTTTAGTGTCCTCGTTGAATGAGAGGAATAAAATTCATGAAGTGTGACTTGGCAAAAGTGGAGTGGAAGAGCCTAAATTGACAGTGGCCAGGTTAAGTACCAGCTGCTAGGCTCTAGGCTAGAACTGCAAGCTGTTCTTACCTTGTTTCTCTTTTAGGTCACTAAACTTTGGCACCAAAGCAAGGTCCACAAATATTTCAAATTTTCCTATCCAGTTTTTGAGGTTTTATTTCAGCATTGACCAGCTAGTTACTGCAAGGCCTGCCAAGGTAAATAACAAGTTTCCTATTCTAGCTTGAGACTGGGAGGGAACCAAACTGCCTACCACTAGAGGGTTTGGAAGGAGACCAAGTTGGATACGACTGTGGTGATCCAGCTGAAAAACAAGAGGGAGGGAGAGCTTGAAAGTTATACAATACAGAGAAAAAGTGGAACTGAATTGACATTAATAAAAGGTATAGTACAGGGTATGCTGAATTTCTTGCCATCATTGTTCAAACGTGATTATAGCTATACCAGGGCTAGCTACCTCCACAGCAATCTTTCTTTGAAACCCTCAATTATTTAACACTTCGTTTTTTCCTATATTTCAAAGTTTTGCTCTTGGAATATAGGCCTTTAGAAAATTTCTTTAGTGTGCAAAATTATTATATTCATAATCTCCTTTGGTTCCTGTCTCATCCATTTTTGATACGCTGCTGCATACCTCTTCCCTAAATAATTATAGGAGTGAATGAACTAATCTAGAATGATCCTTCTAAAGAGATTAGCCAAAAAGATGACCTGAAGGTTCATCTTCCCTTTGGACCTTGCTCTAATAGTAAATGTGAACTGTTTTTAAACAAGAAAATGAAATTAAATGCTTACCTGTATTTAGACAGAAGTAATCAGTTAATATCCCTTGGTTTTATTTTAACTTAACCCTTGTGAATACTTCACAAAAATACATACAGAAGCAAATAAAACTATACAGTCAAACTAAATACCCAGCAGATACAACAAGTAGTCAGAAATTCAAAGATGGATAGCTGTTTAAGTGACTGATGAGGTTGTTTGCATAATCAATTTGGAATTAATGAATACTTTCAACAAAAAGCATTCTAGGTTTTTTTTTAACACACAAAAAATTGGTAGTCTAAAATGTTTGGGTAACATGCATCAATCAGTACAATGACCAATATTTATTGAATTTAAACTATTTACTGTTGTAAACATTTAACAAAAGCATTATGAGATCTAAATACAGTTTGAACAAATAAGTGGTATGTTTAAAAAATAAAGCTGATGAGTCAATATTCCATCTATATATTTTCTTTGAACAGTTCTAGCAAGAGAAGTAGCACAGTTTTTAAAAAAGTATACAGCAAAGGTTGTTCCTATTATAATGGCAAATTCTGAAAACTGTAACAAATAACAGTCAAATGGTCGTTATTCCTAATCAGGAAGGAGTTACAGTAAGAACCGTATGCAATCCAGTTATACTCATCGACAGAATGCTTTTTCTTGTCAGTTGATTTCATAGTTCTTTTCCCAAGAGACAGCAAAACTTTGGCAATTGGATGTATTGAAAATATATTCTCAAAGTTCAAGATACAGTCATTTGTTGTATGAAAGGTGATCTGTACACCAAGGCTCAGAGGTTGGTAAAGATTGATTCCATATGTGGAAAAAGTGCAAATATCCTGCACAGATAGCTTACAAAGCTGCCGGTACAGTTATTCACCAGCAGAATCTAGGGTTTTGTTTGCATAGCTCACACATCACTGGAATGTGGAAAAGTGTGCTATTTTTTGGCAAGAGCAAAGGAGACATACTGATGTGAATTATCATGCTGAATCCATGCAGACACTTGGGTGAAGGCTGCTACCTGACATCATTGGTTTTTGTATACTGGTTTTGTTTTTGTTGAAGCAGTTCTGTTATAGCCAGAAGCTTTTTCAGTACATGCTAGACAAGGAAAAACAATATGAAATTAGTAAGTGAACCTAGATTTGAAAAAAAGCCATAGTATTATTCTATTAAAATCATAAACTTTGTGAAAATTTCTGAAGGACAGATTTGATCATAATACGATCAGTTAAGTTAGAATTTTTGTACACTAAAGTGACTATAAATTCATGTGTTTGGCATTCTCATATCTTAGTCCAGAACACAGGTTTATAAATGATACATCTTAAGATCACATAAAGGTGATACTTTTTCATTTTAGGCCCAATGTCATCATGATTCTTTACCTGTCTTACAAAGTCTTAATTGGGCCAAATCCTCCAATACAGATTTACCGTAAGTAATAAACCTAGCCCCAGTATAGTAAGGAGACATTATGCATGCCATGGGCATATTCGTAGGCCCATGGTACATACTTTACCCAAGTTTCTAAAGTGATTAGGAGCCAGATTATTATCTTAAACTTGGTTTTAGAATCTCAGATTAAAGAAAACTCAGTCCTGTCTGTAAGGTCACTGGCAAATGGCTGGCCAATGTATCGATAGTGACCTAATCTGGAAGAGCTTATTAGAAATCCAATTTCTAATGTCATACTCTAGAATTTCTGGATCTGGAGCTTGAAATATTTTTATCAAGCTTCCTGAATAATTCTGTGTGTGTGTGAGAAAAAGGCATATCACTGCTGACTTATTAACTCATTTGCCATTTTCTCACATGCCACTCAAGTGTATGTATCTTTTTTTTTCTGTAGAGCTAACAATTTATATAAAGCAGCAAGATTTGACATTTTGCAGTATCAAAAATACATACTCTGAGCCTATTATTCCTATCTGAGAATCTTACGAGGATTATGGTTCATTCTTTAAAATGTAAATATAACTGATAAAAATGTCGACCATAACTCAGCTACTTATTACCTCAGAGAATCATAACTGTTAATGAAGACTGGCATAACCTACCTGCTGTGCACCACGCTCATTACTGAGCGTTCTCAGTTCATCTGAATGGGCCACACAAATCTCATGCAATGCTGCTAAATCACGGGACAGGTCAGTCCTAGAATGCTCTGTAGTGTCCGGAAGTTCAGGTACATCCTTTAAGGAAATTACAAAATTGCACTTAGAAATATAAATTTATTTTATTGATTTTTTTACAGAGAGGAAGGGAGAGAGAGAGAGAGCTAGAAACGTCCATGAGAGAGAAACATCGACCAGCTGCCTCTTGGATGTGCCCGCAACTAATGTACATGCCCTTGACCGGAATCGAACCTGGGACCCTTCAGTCCGCAGACCGATGCTCTACCACTGAGCCAAACCGGTTTCGGCTAAATCTTAAATTTTCTTTTGAAAAGATCCCAATTGGTTATAATTGAATTAACACATAATATTCTTTTAAAGTTCTAAGGACTTACAGGAATGTATTCAGTGCTAATTCCGCTAAACATAGATTTTGTGATCTTTGGGTATTCACATCAAAACCACTTTCTTCCACAGCATGGCCGAACACTGTGATTATTGCTATTCTAAATAAACGGGTTTCATGAACTTTATAGAGTTTTTTTGTTTGTTTTTAAATGTGGAACACATAACCAAAAATGTAAGTTTTGGTTGCTAATCTGGATTAAATGCAACCTAAACTTAAAATTCTTTCAGACTGAATCTCATTATTAAGACACCATATTTTGTCTAAATTTATCAGCATACGTGAGAAGAATGTGTCAAGCCTATAGTTAAATTATCTATGGATTACTCCTAAAACATTTGCTAATGTGTGAATATGATCAGTGTTAACTTTACAGACCTTATCTGAAATACCATAATTAACAGTCACTATAAGGACAGACATTGACAGTACTTTATTAACACTAAATACTGATGTTATTTTGAGCCTCAGAATTGTGACAATATTTGCTATACATTCCCTAAATAGTGCAAAACAATGTTTACTATATTGTAGAGAATTAGAATATAATTCATCCTTATTTATTAAAAGACTCAGTAATGAAAAACACTAGTATTTGCCCTTAGAGAGTTTACAATCTAGTTGATACGACAGAATTAAACAGAATTATATACCACAGACATGCGTTTTAGGGCACAGCCGAGCCTTCCTGAAGGAGATTTGAGGTGAGTCTTGAAAGTTAAATTTGATTTATACAGCAAGAAAAGGAATGGAAGAGTGTTAGAATACTGGGATTCTAAGCAGTTTGAAGGGCTAAATAAACTACATGTGGCATTACTAGGAAAGTGATAGAACTGTAGATATTTACGGTTATGGAAAATGTAGTTCCAACCGTGAATCTGAAAACGTAGAAATGTGGCTTACGATAAAATGAGCTAGCCTTAAGTGTTGGAAAAACTTTTCACACAGCTTCTTAAATACTATTTTTCAATCACCAACTAGATTTTTTAGAAACTAGTTTCTTCAAAACTTCACAGGAGTTCACATATGGAAACATGATGGACACAGCATTTGCTCCTTAACATTATTTGTACAGTATTTTTTTTATACCTGAAATGCAAACTAGAGGCCCACAAGCAGTCCTGATAGGTTTGACTACATAGTAGTATAGTGGTTGTTTTGTGTTTTTAACTGAATTTAAATGCATGAAGGCAGAACATGGGCACCTCACTCTCCTACTGTAGCATTCCCTAATACCATGGCTAAATTCACATATATATATGTTTCCTTTCTGGTTTCTATATATATATGAACTGAATAGAAAATACATTTATTTGATTTTTAATTGAGTCTATCTGAAAATTTGTAACTATTTAAATTGTACTAAGAATAAGAAACCCAGGGTCTTAGAAACTATTTTCTTTAAAACCCCCCTTCTTAATTTCATAATTACTATTTATGAAGGCCCAAGTAAGGTATAGGTAATCCTACTAACTGAATTATAACTCCAAGTTCATGGATATTATTCCTATTCCTAGAAAGCCACAAAAATATTCAATCTCCAGTCTATTTACTTATTTCAAATTTCACACAATAGTAAGGTGAAACAGCTAATAGAATAATGAAAGAAAAACTAGAAAATGACACAAATCCAAAAGCCCTAATAATGTATGCTTAGTCTAAAACATTTAGTCTAAGAAACTATAGTCAAAATATTTTAAGAAGGTAAACAAAAATATGCAGTTTGGTTTTTTTAAGTTCTGGATAGAAAACCTTTTTAAAAGTTCATTGCTATAATGAGTTAACTCAGCTATATTAACTATAGGTCTCAAAGTATTGAAAAAGTTGTATACATACCCCAAGTTTATCTAAAAACGTGATCATACGATGTTTATTACTTTTGATGAAAGGATTGACTCCTTCCATATAGGGCTCCTAAAAATATAAACATAAAAAGCTTACTATATGCATCAAAAACAAACATCTGATCTAAATAATAAAAACATACATGTAATAAGAGTTCTTTAAAATATGTATTAATAGCAATACATGTTCACAGTGACAATATTTTCATTCTAATATAAGCAAACAGCTATACTAAAGAACTGGAATTTTTTAATAAAAAAAATAAATTCTGGAATGAGAATACATCAGAGCATATAGCCTAGCAGATACAAATTGCTCATATGTAATTCATTCAAAAATAACTAAGAAACTATTATTTGCCAAGCACCAGGACAACCCTAAGGGTAGAATCTAGCTCCAACCCTAAGGGTAGAATCTAGCAGAAAATATAGGGAATTAAAATAGTGTGCAAAGGACTGTAATAGGAAAATATATATGACTTAGATAAATCCAAAAACTAAACCAGACATATAAACTGCTCTTCATACTAAAACCTTATATGCTATGTTATAAAATAGGAGAAGGTTAGTATTAACACAACTGCTTTTAAAATCAGTAAGTTCAATAAGGAGATGAGATAAAGACCTCATCAATTCCAAGAAATAAACATGAAAAATCATTCAATTTCTCTAAGGGTAATGAAACACCAAAGTAGCGTTATGCCTATTTTTCATCAAGGCTGTGGGAAACATAATGTCTTGTAATCTTACTCCAAAGTTAGTTTAACATAATAACCGGATGAGTTTGGAAAGAAAGACATATAAAGACACTTGTTACAATATTTATGGTAGTGATAAATTGGAAGCCACTGAAATAGCCAATAGAGAACTATTTAACATCTGTCTATATGGTGGCATACTAATCATTAAGTACAATAAAACTTAAATATTTCCAGGTATAGCAATTTTGTTACATTATGATGACAGCAGGTGATAACAGTACGATTCTTATCATGATATTAACAGTCTTCAGTTGTGGGATCACACATGGGGGTTTTAAAATTTATAGTGAAATGTTTATTGTGAAATAAATTTTTAAAGATTGATTGGCATGCATTTAACATGCTGACTGAAGATACAATTTTCTATACTAAAAATTGAAGATATAGTTTTCTATAATGGCTAGAATAGTGGTCTTAAAAATTCCATTATTTACAATGTAAAACCTAAACAAAACATTTTTTAAAATAACATACCAACAAAAATATAATTCTCTTTATGAACTTCCCATTATTGTAAAATTTACTTAAGCTATATTTTATGATTTTATCATGTCAAAGTTTCATTCATGAATGATATTTTAAAGAATAAAAATGTTTATACCTTAGCTCCAAATTCCACAAGATTAGCTAAATTCTGTACAGACTTAGCCACTAATATCAGTGTTCTTGCAGCAATAGGAGATGGGGAATCTGTAAGAGAATTGGGCAGAGCTAATGAGACCAATTCTAAAAGTACCCCCAGGTAAGACAATTATAAATTTAGAACATTAATATTTCTTTCACGTTAAAATATTAATGTTCTCCCCTTCAGAACTCATAATTTTTTTTTGAAAATATATAACCGTTACAATTCAAAAGAACTTGAGTAAAAGGGAAAAATATTGAATGCACTTATCAGTGCTTCTAGTTTTGCAACTCAGCGATTCCCAAACTAAGAATGTATCGGAATACGTCAAAGCTTTATTTTCTTAAACAAAAAACCTGTCATTCTATACAACCTCTGTGACAATTCACAAAGCTAATTTCAACCCACTTAGATTAGAGATATGCACTCAGTAATTCTCCACTCCAATCCCCCACTGACCATATAATCCACTTTAAAGCTCAGTCTGGGATAACCTCTGTTCTTATTTTTTAAAAGAAAAATATGCAATTTCATAAACTATTAAAATACGTTAAACATTAGTCAGGGAACAATTCTTTATGGAATATAAGCCCTGAAAGAAGATACTTATTTAAGAGTAAAAACTTATAGGGAGTCTGAGTGCCTGATTTTTTATTTTACTCTGTATCTCAGGCTAATAAACTATAGATAGTATTGCCTAGTGGTTCATAGGCCAGCATTCAAATAAATAAATCTCTCCAAAAGAATTCTAAACTCTTAAAATTTTAATAGGCTATAGATTTAACCATTTTTGCAATGATAAAAGACAATAACAAATTGGGTGGCTATATAGGTAAAAATTAAAATATTCCTCAATATTTTTAATACACTTGGAGCTTTAAACCACTAAGATAAAAATGGTTTAGGCTCCTTATTTTAATGGCTCATTATTGCATTCAGTCATAAATATCACCTACATCATCTGAAAGTCATTACATAATGGACATACAGGTAATAAGCAAAACTAAATCTGGTTTACTGGAGTTAAAAATGGCTGATATTATGTAAGTGCTGATAAGAAATTCCTAATGAAAATCTCTAAAGAGCCACTTTAAGTATTCACAGAGTACTACCTCAACTGTAGCACACAGAAAGCTCTTCTTCCCGACATGAAAAGGACAAGATGCAAAGAGGTAAAAGGCACTGTAATAAGAGTTTGAGATACAGTAGAAATGGGGAAAAAAGAGTAATATCTAATCATGCCATCTCTGGCTTCATTAGATGAGAAGGAAGGGTAAAAAAAGCAAAATGGCAAGGAAAGGTAAAGAGAAACCATGTAACCTCATTAAATAAAACAAAGTTTTATTCTAATTTTTTAATTTCAAAAGGTATCAAAAATTGATTACCTGAGATTATGTTAAACATCCGTGGATTCAGGATGGCAGGGCAGATAAGTCGAAGGAAAACAAAACCACTGAATGGGAGGAAATATCTTTTTAGACTACTACATTAAGAAAATAAAATTTTTAATACTCATAGAATCATGAACTTTGAACTAATACAGGAAACCACAAACAGAGCTTTAATAGCTCAAAGTACCTTATTTTAAGAACTTCTATATCATCTTAAACATACTTTTCCCAAATTTGGAATTTTATTTTGGGCAGATTTAAATTATATTTATAGTACTTACTATCTTAATTTGAGAAAGCAGAGTCCTTAAAAACTAAGAGTTTCTGGAAAAATTACAGGAGCACAAGTCTTTTTATGGACACATACCGTGTTTCCCTGAAAATAAGACCTTGCGCAACTTTGGGAGAAAAATTTAATATAAGACACTGTCTTGTTTTTGGGGAAACAGGGTAGTTCTGAAAGGTCCTAAACTTATATTCTCTCAATTTTCTCATTCTCTCTCTTGATTTTGTTGATGTCTTCCTATCTAATAAAGAGGTAATATGCAAACTGACCATCACTCCACCACAACTTGACCAGCAGGGGAGGACATTTGGGAGGGACCAGGCCTGCAGGGGAGGGCAGTTAGGGGCAATCAGGCCAGCAGAGGAGTGGTTAAGGGGTGATCAGGCTGGCAGGCAGAAGCAGTTAGGAGCAATCAGGCAGACAGGCAAGCGGTGGGGAGCCAGCAGTTCTGGATTGTGAGAGGGATGTCCAACTGCCCATTTAGGCCCAGGGGCAGTCAGACATCCCTTGAGGGATCCCAGATTAAAAAGTGAGCAGGCTGGGCTGAGGGCACACCACCCCCCACCTCCCATGCACAAATTTTGTGCACCCAGCCTCTAGTATAAAAATAAGAATCCATTATACTAGGGAAAAGGTGACTCCATGATAATAAATAAATATATATATATATATATATATATATATATATATATATATATATATATATATATATATATATATATAATACAATGCTAAAAAGCTTTTATGGTCATAAAGAAAAAAACAAGGTTTCTCAAGTTAAAAAATACATTCTCAAATTACAAAGTAATAGTAAAACTAAAAAGTTATGTTAACATGTTTAACAACATTGTCATATATGATTTTACCTGTTAATCTTACTCTTACATTATGTAAAACTGCAAACTTATTTAGCTTTTTCCTAACCTGCCATCTTCAGTTACTGATAGAGTATATGTTAAGAGTAATACACATTAACAATTGACCTCTTACTTGCCTCTTATAAAGACAAGCCTTATTACCAAAACTAGAGGCCTGATGCACAAAATTTGGGGTGAGTGGGGGGGGAGAATCCCTTTAGCCTGGCTTGCGCCCTATCACAGTTCAGGAGCCCTTGGTGAATGTCTGATTGCTGCAAAAGGAGAGGCTCCCACCACTGCTGCCTCGCTCGCCAGCTGTGAGCCCAGCTTCTGCCTAAGCGGCGCTTCCCCCGTGGGGCACAGTGACCTCCAAGGGGGCAGCTCCTGCATTAAGTGTCTGCCCCCTGGGTGGTCAGTGCGCATCATAGAAACAGGTCGTTCTGACGTTCAGTCTATATTAGCCTTTTATTATATAGGAGGATAGTTGATAAAATTTCTTCTAGAGACTAAATTCCTCAATACTTATCTATTCTCTGCTAGAGTAGATAACCCAAATCTCAGCATGTACCTTCCAAAATATGACACTTTGCTAATTTTGGACTCTTAGAAAGTGAATATATAGTTGCAATTAGAATATATGACAAAAAAGTCTTTAAATTTGGGTTTAAATTTATGAAGAATCTTGTACAGATTCTATTTGAATAGATTTTGATACTTAAGTGTCAGAGGCAACATCACACCATAAAAGACTTTCAATGTGCAAATCTACTTTCTGTTTTAAGGGGATACTAGATACCTACATATACATTTAAAAGCTTAGGGGCAGAAATCATCACCTTGGGCATAAATGCCCTTTAAAACATCCAATAGTGGCAAACAGTGCACAGCACAATTTCCTGCTATACCTGCTTAACAAATACACTTGTTTGAAACTTACAGATTATAGAAGTGTTAATTTACATCACACATATAGCTGTGCAGAATGTGCTTATAATTATTTTTATTCTCAATCACTACTGAAGCCAAGAATTATAGAATCTATAATTTTTAAATATTTTTGTCATATGATTCTAAGATTTTTACCTAAAAAGAGTAGAAACCTCTACAAAATTTAGGTTGGAAGCCAGATTAACACACATTTTCAAAACTATGTTATGGGTTTTGTTTTTTAGTGGTTGGGTAATATTTTTAAGGGGCATAACATGACTGGCAATATACCTAGTATATTTTAAATTAATTCTATCATTGTTAGACTACTACATTCTCTAATGCTTTATCACTAAGTTCCCTATTGGCTTGAATGGATTGGGATGTACTTTACAAAAGCCTGCAAAAGTATTCAGAATATTAAATTAAATTGGGGCCTGTCCTGTGTGCTCAGTGGTTGAGCATTAACCTATGAACCAGGTCTCACAGTTCCATTCCTGGTCAGGGCACATGCCTAGGTTGTGGGCTCAATCTCCAGTAAGGGACATAGAGGAAGTAGTTGGTCAATTACTCTCTTCCATCATGTTCCTATCTCTCTACCCTTCCCCTCTGAAATCAATAAAAAATACATATATATTTTTTAAATACAATCTTAGACTGGGTCATAGAAGTTTAGTCTTTAGTTCTATCTTAGCTACTAACTTTGCAATTTCTCCTAATTACTGCATTGGAGATTAGCCCATGGTCACAAACTGTTATAAAACTATTACTTTAAAATGGCTCAATTATTGCTGTACTTAGCACCAAATTAATCTGTTTCTCTTTCCTTCCTTCCTCCCTTTGACTAAGAGTACTATAAAGTTAGACACAGATTTTGTTGATTATTTGACCTCATCCTATAAAATAAAAATCTCAAATAGTTAACTGACTATAAATGAATGTTTAGGTTTTTAGAAAATGCAAAAGTTATCTCAGTAATCATAGTAACTTCCAAAACACCCCAACACTGAAAGTCTGTTTAGGAGCCATCTGAACTCAGAAAATATTCAACAGGGCTAAGAATAAAAAGAAAAGAAAAAGGTTTTGAATTGTACACTGTGTACTGTCAGTCTTCAAATTTTCACAGTTATCCTCTTGACTCTCAGTATGCACCATACACAGTGATGTATTAAATGAACTGCTTAGCCTTACCTAACAACTCTTGTTCTCATGGTGGTATTTGTAGGCCACTTGTGCTGAACAGATTTCTGTAAACACCCATAAATATATCTCAGTGTCCTGCCAAAATAACACAATCATCTCAATACAGAAAGCAAGTGAAAATACTGATCTCGTTATACCTAAAGTTTAATTTACCAAATATATAACATTTTAATGCAACTGACATTTTCCCCAAAAAATGTACTTGGTTCAAAGTAATAGAGAATCAAGTTTTCACACTTGATTCATTTAACCAATTATTTTACATTTGCTTTGGAAGAAATCTTACCATATTTAGATTATTCTATATTTATGAAAAGTATGAAAAAGTATTGGGATAAGAAAACAGAGGAAACTAATGAGTTCGGGGTTCTGGGAAAATGTTGGCTTTTTAACAATTTCTACCTGATTGAGTTAACACGGGAAGCTATTAAGCAGACTGGATAGAGATCTGTCTTTTATCATTTCCTCAAATCTAAGACTATACCTCTATTCATTCCCCAAGTCACTATATAAATCAGACATGGGCTTACATAAAAGCATGATTTGATTTACTTAATGTAAATACTTCACACGTTTCTTCAAGTCAGTCTTCTTCCTTAAACACAATTCATTTTGTACAGATTAAACCCCCTGCCTTTTTCAAAGTATCTTAACCATGACAGTGGAAAAGTGTACATTTTAGAAATACAAATTTTTCAAAATGCAGATACACAATTTCTTGTCAAATTAAAATTCACCACTTACGGTGGAAGTATTTCTGAAGCCATGAATATTTTCTCCACAAGTTCTGAAAGTATGTTCAATAGGTGTGCTAAATTAGTGTTCACATCTTCATTTTTTTCTAATTTTGATGGACTTAACTAAGAGAAGGAACAAATCAATATAAATGCATCTTAGCAATGATAAACACAAAGAATGAAGGTAATCAAACAGTTCTTTTCAAGGTTCTTTATTTTTTCCATCTGTATTAGGGGAGGTATAAGTGGGAATTTTTAAGTAGTGTATGCTATGGAACTCCTTGGGTTTGTTACCATTAATTCCCAATTACAGTTGACCCTTAAACATTGGTTTCAACTGTACAGGTCCACTTATACGAGGACTTTTTTCAATAAATGCCTTTACTTTTTGATCTGTGGTTGGGAGTCTGAATGCAAAGGACCAACTGTATGCACTGATCTCTGCCATTTTATATGATAAACTTGCACATCCACAGATTCTGGTGTACATGGGGATACAGAAGGAAAACTAAGTTTTGAGAGAGTCATGAGTTCTCTGTGGATTTCTGACCACGCAGGAGTGGGAATTGGAGAGGGCCCCTAACCCTCCCCAATCCAGGTTGTTACAGATTCGACTGTACTGAATTGAAGAGCAATCTATTCAACAGCTTTCAGTTGCTTTGGAATCAATGCCAGTATTAAAGTTCTCTTCTGTTCATTAACCAGTTTTTACCATAGATTTTTACACTCACATAAAATTGGGTCAGACTTTCTAAAAGACAAAAAATAAAAAAGCACCACCAACAACAAAAACCGTTTTAGTGGTCACATAGTCACAAATATATGGGAATATTTAAATAGGATGAAAGATCACCATACTGTTATTGTAATGTCTATCTTAATTCTGTTTTTTAAGGGGAAAAAATGTATTTTCTGAATAGGATAAGACTTATTTATGACTAGAAAATACCAAAATGCCTGGAGCAAAATCATGAACCTTTCTCAAAACTTTTCCCTGAAATGTAAGTGTCCTGATCTAAACTGAATGGGGTACATTTCTCTAGAGATGTCTAAATTCCCCAGCCTGGATCCAGCTACCAGACACTCTGCAGATTTGCTGAATTCCTATATCCTTACTAGTTAGACCATCTGTGGTGTTATCCCAGGTTTTCAACACTAATTCTCTAATAAGTAAAAATTGACAACTTAATGCAGAATTAACATGCTCTCAGTGTACATTGTCAAAAGAAATTTCTTATTTTATTAAGAGTTAAAATATATTTAGTATCTTATTTTATTAAGAGTTAAAATATATTTAGTATCTTCTATAGTTGCTCTACCTTCAGAATAAAATGAGAGAATAGCCATAAGATACACTCTTTCTCTTCCTGATTTACCAAGAATTTGCACTGAACCTTTTTTTTTCTATTGTGAGGATTATCTCATACTACCTCACACCCCCAAAAAATGCTTTAAGGACAAATCTAAATGTTGTTATGATGAGCTACATAGAATTTAATTAGGTTATACAACAGAAACTTAAGTTTCCATCTTAGCACCAAATTAATACTCCCACCTTCTGAAAGTAGCATATATTTATCAGTATACTAGGAGAAATAATAAAGTACTCTAATGAATTTCTGGTGCAATATGAGGTTTTAATCCTCAAATAAAGCCATCTTTAAGAAAAATTAATCTATTTTACAAAACATTTTCCAAATATAATATTATATTATAACAGGTATAACTGCTCTGATAATTTTAGAAAGGTAATATAATTCCTTAAAATGTAATTTTATATATAAAAAAAAAAGCCTAATTTGCTCAGTGTCCAGTCATCCATTCAACCATCAAAGTATAATATGCTAATGATATGCTAAAGCTGTTCAACTGCTATACTATTATGATGTGCATTGACCACCAGGTGGCAGACACTCCGACCGGTAGTTTAGCTTGCTGCTGAGGTCCGGCTGATCTGGGACTGAGCGAGACAGGCTGGACACGCTCTGGAGCCCCTCCATGGCTGGCCAACGTCCCTGGCCCCAATCATGCACCCGTGTGGTCCTTAGCCCGGCCTGTGACCTCTCACAATCCAAGACCCCTCAGGGGATGTTGGAGAGCTGATTTTTACCTGATCCTACAGGCCAGGCCGAGGGACCCCACTGGTGCACAAATTCGTGCATCAAGCCTCTAGCTTAACTATAATTCATTACCTATTAGAATATTCTCTTTGTCATACCTCACAAGATTGCTTGCTTTCCATTATCTTTAAAATGGAATCTTTCAAAGCATGATGGACAAATTGTGTAGCAGTGGCCTTCATATACTGCTCCATCAAGGTGCTTGCAAGTGTTGTGGCTCGAAATAAAGTAGTGGCTTCATCTACATAAATATATTAAAAGGTTATCTGTAAATAACTGTACTAATAATGTGAACCAACTGGCATTTAAATAAATTCATTTTTATCTTAACAATTTTAACCATTTAAGTATGCTTATTTCCATTCTGCATTAAAATACTGAGTATAATATGCTTCTATATACTTAAGTCTTCAAAAAGCTTATATCTATTATTGCATTAGATCATAAACAGGAGAAAGGATTAGTACTATCATGTTTATACAAAAAAAAGGTTTAGACTAGTTAACATAAAATCCCCAATTAAATTAATGTATTAGCCTAAAACGTGGCTACTAAAGATTTAAATAAAATTCTAAAAAACACAAATATTGCCAGTATAAAATACATATCACCACTTGATCTTTCCTGACACATCTGTATATTATTACAGTTTATTTGGGGTAACGTAGCAGCAAACACTGTCACTGAGTCAAAGTGCTGGCTAGAAATGATTACTCTGACATATTTGTAAGCTGTTACCAAGCACTGTGTGCCTAGCTATAGTGCCCGGGAACTACTTATCTGTAGAATCTAGAAATAAAATTCAGCTCATAACCAATTTCTGTGCAATAAATTAATAAGTAAAAGATCATGGTATGTATATCACACTGTTCTTAATAAAACACTAGAAGTCATTGATTTGGACACAGAAGTCACTTTCTTTTGACTTCTAATACTAATTTGTCATGACAGAAACTTGTATTAAAATACCAACCACCCATATTAGCCAGCACAAGAATCAGAACTGGTATTCTAATTTTTAATAAAGAAAAAAAAATAATTTATTTTGCAAGATGATTTAACTGTTTAATATTCTATCATAGAACCCACATATATTTGCTGTTTAAAATCCAATTATTGACCAAACTTTTAAAAGTATTACATTAACACATCCATACTATACCTTCCATGCTTATTTCTCTGTCATTTAGTGTACATAGCAACAATGATTCAAGCTTTTCATGAAGGAAAATCCTCAGTAGGATGCTAGCCAGTAGTGTTCGGTCCTGTCCACACACATGTGATAAAGCATAGACTACATGAAGGTCCTTTTGCAGTATAAGCTAAAAGTGATATCAAGGAAGATTGTTAAAAGTAGAGCATTAAGCATTCGCAGTAAGATTAACAAAATATGTTCTTTTATGTTTTTATATTTATAAATATATTGTATTGAATAAATTTATTTAAAAAATAATAAGCTTGTAGCCTACATATTTTTGTCTCCTAAGACCAACCCTATACTACCAAAAGGGTGTTCAACCCTCTTTTGTCAGTCAGTGTGCAACTAAGCTAAATGTTAACTATTTCTGTTAATGCCATAAAAAATAAGTAGACTGGTAAATAATACCTCTTTAAATTCATTGTATTCTTCTTCAGGCATGATTTTTTCCATAGAATATCGTGCCCGGACACGCAAGGATCCTGGTTCAATACCTTTTAATGGTATATGGGAGCTGAGCAAAAACCATTCGTCTGTGGCATGCCCTTTCTGTAACCGGCTCAACTGGCAGCGCATAAATACTTTGATAGAAAAACATCAAATGATTACTGTCTAAAAAGATGACACTATAAATTAGTCACACACGTATATTATTCTGATATTTTGCCTTCTCTACAGAGTTAAATGTTTTTTATTAAAGAAGTTTTCAGTGAGATCACAAAATTCAGTAGTAAATATTTATTTCATTAATTTAGTGAATGTCTATTATGTACCAAACTCTGTAATAGCCAGAGGCTCAGGATATAGACATGATTAGGGAAATACAGAGTAGACATTTTATAGAGAAAGATTCAGGCTTGGACCTATCTATTAATACAAAGCACTTCTTTCTCTAAACATGACTTTTAAGAAGATATTAACCTAATTCACAGGTCTGTGAATTGCTAAATCCCACCGACACCTGTTTCAGCATTAAGCCGGGAAAAGGTGAACAAATAGTACACTCGTGTTTAAAGAAGAAAAAAAAAATTAAAGAGTGTTTTTCCACTTACTTGCAAAGTATAGGAAATAAGGAAAACCCTCAAAAGGATAAGAAGGGATAGGGGAAGAACAACAAAGATGACCACTTTTACTGTTTTCTTGTTCTTCATACTCATTAGGAAGGGGAGGGTGAATAGATATGTAATTTAATCTTAAAGGCTTCAGTTTAGAGTATATATAATTTAGTCATATCAATAACTTTTAGAAGTACAAAAAAACTACCTCAAATTATATTACTTGTACTTCTATTTTATTTTTAATTTCCATTTTTGATTACATTATGAATTTTTAAAGTACACAAAATATGTTTGTCTTTTAGTTTAGAAAGAAGTTTCTGTATCAACTTACAGATATCAGGATCTTTACTTTTCTTTGTTTTATTACTAAGAGTTATTTCAAATCTGTTGATGTCAGGAGGAAGATCACTAAAAGAGCAAGAAGAAAAAGAATTAACAAAGTGCCCTGGCATTAAGTTATCTAATTCCTTTATTTCTAGAATCCAATAAGGCTCCTAGTTTACTACTAAACAATTTGAATGTGTTACATTTACAACTAGATTCAAAATGTCTGATTGCTTGGTATATAGACCAGCAAATTACACTTTCCCTACCATCTTTAACCTCCTCAGGTAAATCCTGGAAACCTTCATAAACATTTTATGTGTGTGTTAGTAATGCTTTAGGACTTGTCAGTAATGCTAAATGTTAACTACAAGGTGGAAAACAAAGGACATAGCACATTACTTTAAAAAAAAAAAGTGTGTGTTTTGAGGTCGGGGGAGAGGGGGTGGTGGCTGATAGTATTAAAATGACTGGACTTGGTGCCCTGTTCTGATAGTTTAGATGTAGAGACCAACAACAACAACAAAAAAAGGAATGAAAATGCAGTATGATAAAAGAAAATGATTTAATGTAATGATAAAACAAGACTTACTCAAAGACAAACTCTTCTGACCATACAGGGTTTTGGCCTTCCCTTGCATGAGTTTTTGCTACCTGGACACTGTTCAGGTAGATGTTGCAATATGGATTAGTAAAATGTTTTATTGGGAGTTTATGGGCTTCTTCAATATGTAAAACAAGACTGCTGACCTAAAGAAAGCACAAAAATTGTTATACCAGATTTCAAAAATTATGCATTGTTTCAAAAGCAGTTACTATAACTGTAATTTTGTTTTATAAATTATTCCAATTATATTCTTGCAAAAATAATGAAGTAGACCTTTTAATATAAAACCATGGTTCAGAGAAAAGAAGAGGATTCTTTATTAAGCAGACTGTCACAACTCAAATCAAAATCCTATTTGTTATATAGTGTTCATCTGAAAGATTTTAATTTCTAAAAGAATTCCACAGCTATAAAATATTTTTAAAATAAGATTCTACCTTTTCATTCTATAGAAAAGGATATAGATCCAAAAAAGAATAGTTATTTGTTAGTTTTGATGCCAATACTTAGACCAAATGCCTTCTAGTATCAGGTCTTATTTTCCCTCCTGCCACCTGCTTTGGGCAAGTCGCTTCTCTGAGCCTCACCTTCCTCAGACAAAATTAAAACAAAGTTTGCACTGTAAGTTGCTGTAAACATTCAATATGTGTAAAGCATAAGGAGGGTTCAAGAGCTATTAGCTATAGCATATTATACCAATAAGTGATCATTTCATGGCTAACATTTCATACAAGACAATATATAAAAATTCAACATGCTTTTCTATGCTTACAAAATGTTAAAATATATTTTGAGAACACATAGTGATTATGTGTATAAATTTCCTTGGGGAGTCAGTCTGTTGTTCCAAAGAATATAAAATAGTAATTAAATATTAACATCCATTTCCAATAGAATAATATGTTTAAATCATCAAGATTATTGGAAAATTTCTACAAATAAAACAAGAGTCACTTTGATCAATAAATACTGTACTAAAATCTCTCTGAAAATCCAAGAATGTTAAAATTTCTTGATATTTTGCCAATTATCTAGGGATAATTATGAAGAAAAAAGCAAAGGAAATGGAGGATATGAAGTTGACTTTATACACTTTGAAAGAAAGAGCCTAGCCTAACTCTATATGAATGAATACACAGGACATGTTAATGTTTCAAGTAAGATAGTATAGGATACTACCTAAGAGTTATGAAATAACATTTCAAAAATAATTTCTATAATGAAAAACCTAAAATATTAATGGGATTAGTAATTCAAGTAAGAAGATCTTTTCAGTAAGTACTTTTAGTTCCTCATTTTTGAAATAGGCATTTTTAATGAAAAAAAAGAAAAGTGCCCAACAGAATAGTTTCTGTTACTGTTGGTTTGGTATTGTTTTGAGTGGAGGGAAAAAAACAAACACCCTTGATAATGTATTTAAAAGATCCCATTATATATGCAACATTCTCTTTTGTAAAGAAATAATTATTTCTCCTACTACTGAAGCAAGTGGGAGCTTTAAAATGCCTGACAAGATTAATTTATCTTAAGAACTCTATAAAGTATATCAAATACTGACCAAAACAGTTCACACTGTAATAAAAATAAAGAACAAAGTAATAAAACAAAATGTGAGTCACAAGTCAAAGAAAATTAAGTTTCACCTGACGCAAGCGTTTATTAGATGTCCCTGGACTACTTTTCCGTAAATTGCAAAATGCCTGCAGACCTTTCATCCAATCCTATAAGAAATAACAGCAGTTCAAAGAAATATACGGTAGTATAGCTTATTTAATTTCCAATAATCAATTTGTTTTCTTAATTCAATATTCTTTCCTTCTTGAGATTGCCATTTTAAACTCACAGTACTGTAATATATTTGTACCCTAATAAAGTAAAACAATCATTTAAAAAGTTTAATTCTGAAAAACTTGTTTCTATAGATTTTCTAAATTAATGTTAAGAGTACAAATAAGGGGTAATTAATTAGCCAAAAAAAAATTTTTTTTTTGAATAGGTAAGCTGTTACACTTGAGATACCTAAAGCAAAATTAACTTGTGTATTTTATGAAAGGAGGGCTGACAGCAAAACCAGTGGATAATGTAATGACTAATTTTATGGACTATGAAATAAGTAGAAATATATAAGGGTATCTGAATTATATATGTGTTTGAAATATAACCTTAGATTTAAAAATGGTCAGCCTAATATCCAAATTAATTGTAGCTACCTTTAAAAATGTTTAACCCACCTAGTGCTCTGGAAAAAGGAGAAATTTTACATTTATCAAAAATAAATCTAAATATTTTACCTTGGAGTACATGTTTTTAGAAAGCTTTATATACCATTGTTTTTACTCAATTATTTCTTCAATTTGTAGACTATTTCAATGAACCTGAACTTTGTCAATGTTTAGAGAACATCTTTATAATTGAGCAAATTAAGATAAAATAAGTTATTACAGCTTTTAGGAATAGAAGAGAGGCCCAGCAGTAGTTGAGAGTTTACCTATGAACCAGGAAGTCACAGTTTGATTTCTAGTCAGGGCATATGCCCGGGTTACAGGATTGATCCTTAGTGTGGGATATGCAGGAGGCAGCCGACCAGTGTTTTTCTCTCATCACTGATGTTTCTATCTCTATCTCTCCCTTCCTCTCTGAAATCAATTTTTAAAAAATAGAAGAGAGTAACCAAAAGAGAGCCACCAAAGTAATGAAAATTGAAAATAGCAGTGATATTTTGGACGCTAGTATTTGGAAATAAAGCATGTAGAAAGAGTATATAGAAATGCAGTAAGAAAATGTTCTATTTATACAGCTTGGTGAGACATGTAAAACATACTGAAATATCAAGGTATGTAACACATCTCGATTTAGAAAGAGGACATGGTAAAATGACTAGAAGATGGGATAGTGGAGTTCATATTTCTTTCCCAATTCAATTTCTAACATTTAAAAAAAGTTAGCAAATGTTTTGAGCCCGACTTTTTCATCTACAGTTAATAAAAATTTAGGGAGATTATACACACACACACACACACATATGTATACATACATACATACACATATACATATGTATGTATATGTATAGATATACACGCACGTATATATATACACATATGTATATGTGTGTGTATATATATACACACATACACACACACTGTTTTTGTGTTATATGCTGAGTATTTCAGATATCTTGCAAAAATTTGAACTATGACTCGATTATGAATCATAAAACAATGGTTCATTCATCAAGTTTATTCTAGAGTCAAAGGTATTTTCAGAATTTATTAATGGATATTTTCATAAACTATTAAAAAGGATACACAGCATCTGCCTCAAATCCAATGTTGGCAAATTATCTTCTATTTGCAATAAAGTTGCTTACAAAGTAGTTGCTTTCTTTGACCTCTTAACCACTTTCAAGTTCCTCCCATAGAATATAAGCAGAAATACAGCCATATTTCCACAAAATAACACTAAAAACCAGGAAATATGATTCAGAGAACTCAAAATATCGTAAAAGGAGATTTTAAAAAAACATTATTCAAATATTACTTAAAATTTAATAAAGTTTTTTAGAAGGGCATTAAACATAGATCATTGGCTAGTCCAGAAAGAAAGATTATAGTTAAGACTTACAGAAAACTCCAAAAATAGTTTTCTTTCTTAAGACCGAACTTCTATTTTTAGATATGGAATTCAACCAGTGAAAAATAACAACACTTATGAGCAAAACTAACTGGCTTGCCTTTTGATTGTACTGAGAATATCCATAACATTTCTGCAGAGAGGATTTAAATGAGCATTCTCAGTTGGATTCAACATCATAGAATATTTAAACATCAATTTAAAATGGAGTTTTCATTCCTAATAACCCTTCACTGTGTTTTTCTGCATTTCTTTTTTTTTTTTTTAATTTTGTATTTGAAAGTTCTCATTCTTTAAAATAAAAAGATGATTACATTTCAGACATCCTTTTTATCACAAAACAAAGGCTTGTGAAGTATATAAATTTCTAATCTCTCTCTCTCTCTAGATATATATATATATATATATTAATGTATGTATATGCGCGCGCGCACACACACACACACACCCCTGTATTAATTTAATACTGTATGTTAAGTGTAACTGAAAAATTTTTTAAAAAACATGGGCTAAGTGCTTACACTGAAGAAACAATTAACTTACCTCTGCTTGTTCTGGAGTTTCGCCTGCAAAGTAAAAGATGTAATGTTCTTCACTAAAGTGCTGAACTACTATCTGAAAACAGTTTGGCCTTTAAATACAAACAAAAAAGTTATTAGGAAGCTTAACAAAAAGTATTACTAGCTTAAGCTACTTTTTAAAAAAATCACAATATATTAAATAATTTATATAAAATAAACATAATTCTTAATTTAGAGAAATTCTCCATTGTACCATATCATTACTAAGAAGAAAATGTCAGTTGTACTTTTTAGAGAAAAATTTTTAAATTTTATTAATCTTTCATTTTAAAAAATTTCAGCTACTGTATAAATTTTAAAGGACATTAGAAATAGAAAACTTACAAAGGAATTGAAGCAGATTTGTCAGAATTGCACATAGCTATTCCAAAAAAAAGTAAATAAAATGTTACTAAACTCACTGCTTCAGGATGATATAAAATATATCTTTATCTTACTGGAAAAAGGCTATAAACATATTTGTAGACCAAAAGTGTTCTTACTGGTTCTCTCTCAGTGGATGAGTTAATTTTCATTTTCTTCTTCATAATTTATGTACTTTCAAATCTTTTACAACTGACAGTTTTCCTCACCTTGTAAAATGGAATCATCATCTACTCATGGATATGCTTATTCTGAAAATTAAATGACCTAACAATGGATTACAGTAGATACTGGTTTGTGCCCACCTGTAGTATGCACTGTACTGTAATTAACTTAACATGTAAATACATTATCAAATAGTTTACTTCTTTTCCACAGACAGCCAACCTCCTAGTCCCTCCACCCAGTCAGCTGGCCCCAATCGACCCTAATAGGGACTGGGTGAGATGGCCCCACTAGGCCTTGAATGCTGACCAGGCTGAGGAACCCTACCCATGCATGAATTTGTGCACCAACCAGTTGTCTGTGAGGTCCGAAAAATTGGTTATCGCTGATTTAGATAGCTTATATACTTTGTTATCAAACAGGACAGTGGTATACTGATCACATTTCTTCCCATAAATCTAAAAACATGCAGCTAAAACAGCATGGATTTTATTAGGCTCTATGTAAAAATATTTCAGTGGTAAATACTGGAAAAGTGAGATTAAAAATGTTCACTAATAATAGTTATAATTTGAATAATATGAATCTTAAAGAATTAAGATCAATAAGTCAACATCTATATACCCTGTTTCCCCGAAAATAAGACAGTGTGTTATATTTATTTTTGCTCCCAAAGATGCGCTAGGTCTTCTTTTCAGAGGATGTCTTATTTTTCCATGAAGAAGAATACGGTACACATTTATTGTTAAATGAAAATAAAGGAAATTTATTACCTGTATACAGTACGGTAGTACGGTAGTTGTCAACACAAACCAGACAAACTGTGAATCCTACAGTATCAAGAATTTACTCATTTATTCAATGACAATCAAGTCATTATCTTCTCGAACATCATCATAACAATCCAATTTCTGAATTTCCTGGTGAATTTCTTGTGACTCCATTTCTTTCAGAATCAGTGGACCAAATCTCTCATGTTTAGCCTAGCGGGGGGCCTTATTTTCAGGGATGCCTTATATTTCACTCAGAAGGAAACCTGTAAGTAGGTCTTATTTTCGGAGAAACACGGTAGTTTGAGGAAAAGCTTTACCATTTTGTAAACTCGGTGTTTGGCCTCAAACAGAGTTGGCAGTTTTCATGCAGACTGGTAAAACAAGCAATTCTTCCGCTCTAGGGAGCATTTTTGTCTTTAGCTTTTGCTGTAATTGCATGATCTCTTAAAGAATTAAGATCAATAAGTCAACATCTATATAGTTTAAGGAAAAGCTTTACCTTTTCATATATAGATCACTTTACCACTGATCTGGTAGCATATGGTAAATGTGTATTTACTGCTGTACACTATCTCACAAAAACTCCTTAATATCATTAACCAGAATAGGAATAATTTTATCTTTTAAAATTGCATTTAAAAGATCTGATCCTTCTTTTAACTCTAGAAGTCTTTTCTTTAATTGGCAAATCTAATGTTGACCTTTCTTTTGATACTACTAACGGGTTTTCAATCCAGTTGCAGGTTCATGTATAGTACATCAAAATGGTAAAGCTTTTCCTCAAACTATATAGATGTTGACTTATTGATCTTAATTCTTTAAGATTCATATTATTCAAATTATAACTATTATTAGTGAACCATTTTTAACCTCACTTTTCCAAAGTTGAATTTCTGTTTTGAATCCAAAAACTTTCAGAACATGTATCTTTTTGTGCTGTACTTCCAACTTAAGTTTGAGAAAATTTACTCATTCTTCAATAAATCTGCAAAGTGAGAATCACTCCTCAAAGTTTTCTTCTTCTAGATCATAAACTTTAGATCAGCGGTCGCCAACCAGTTGTCTGTGAGGTCCGAAAGACTGGTGATCACTGCTTTAGATAGCTTATATACTTTGGTATCAAACAGGACAGTGGTATACTGATCCCATTTCTTCCCATAAAACTAAAAACATGCAGCTAAAACAGCATGGGTTTTATTAGGCTCTATGTAAAAATATTTCAGGTGGAATTCAGATGCACATACTATTACACATCAGTGCATCTCTGTATTGCTTACTTTCCAGAACGATTTTTTAATGTAAATCCTTTCAATATTCCTATCATGAAGCCTCATCACCAATCAGAAACTTAAAATACTATTTCCATAGTATCTTCCTAGTTTCTTTGAATGACCAATAATTTACATACAAGTCTGCAGGGAAAAAGCAATCTGTACCTTTCAATTTATTTACTGACAATCCTAATCAGAACACACAGTCTAATACTATTTGAAACAAGTGGTATCTTTCCTAATCCTTTTGATTTTTGGCCTCAAACACAGAGTTGGCAGTTTTCATACAGAACAAGCAATTCTTCAGCTCTAGGAAGCATTTTTGGTTTTAGCTTTAGCTGCAATTGCATGATCTCTTAACAAGTGTAACCTGAAACTGCAGGAACAGATATCTGAGAAAAGAAGATTCGGGGGAGGGGAGAGAGACTGGTGTCTTTGAAGCTCACCATTCTTTGGCAGTATGGTGCCAGCACAATGTACTTGCCACTGATGATTTATTCAATAACTTTTATGCAATATTTAAGATGAAGAAGAGAATATTTACTGGACTTTATATAAATTCTATACATTTCTTATTAAGTGACCTAATTAATGAATTGAATTTTTAAAATTAAAACTACTATTTCTGTCTTATGAATTTAATGACTTGCCAGTTTTAAATACCAAATTGCCTTTTAGGGTATGGTGAGAAAACGAATGCTTGTACATTAACATAACAATGAAAAAATATGTTGTTTTTCAAGAAATCCCTTATATTTTACAGTAATGCCAACAAGTTTAACTTCTGTATTAATAGAAAAAAATGTATAAAAACAAAATGAAACTAAATTTTACACATGAACATAAAAAGTTAACTTCAATGATGTTTAACAAAAACAGTGAATAAAATAATATTCAGAGAATCCGGGTGATTCAGTAAGAAAGTGAGAAGTGCTGAGGTATGGCCTCTATAGAGAACTTTCTGTCCACGGCGTTATGTACCAATTCTTCTGCCACAATAAAACAATGAATTCTAACACTATAGAACCATATAAATTCAAATGTTATAGCTTTTTAAATGTAAAATGTCTGTTTTAATATTTTAATTACAACTTTTACAGCCACTAATATTTTAAGAACAGCTATAACTTATTCATGACATACTGAAGCTCTGCCTTACTTAGATTCACACTTATCCTCCAATAGCTTAAACCACCTATTTCATATTAATCATCTCAATAAGCTAGTCTCCAAATTCTCTTCCCTCTTACAACTACTGATAGCACATATAAGATATAGTGTGATTATCTCCCTGACATCCATTTCAATCCCCATAGAAAAACCATCCTCACTGTATGGTGGGATGATCCCAGTGGTAGGGCTGGGCACTCAATGGTCTCCCATTCTTTTGCTATCTCAAGTAACCCAAGACTAGAAACTGTCAGAGGAGGCTCAATCCTATTCTCTGGACTTCTAATAGATCTGGAGGGAATGCTCACTGCTTTCTCTGATACTATTTGCCACCTTGGTACCATGAAGGAAGCTGCTCTGAGAGAAAGAATCCAGCACCCACAAAGGCAGGCAAAGCAGAAAGCTGAAAAGGAGCCGATGTTTTACCAAAACTTTTTTTCCTTTTTTTTTTTTTGAGATATTATGAAATATTTAGAAAAATGGTGGGAGGGTATCAATCAAGTAAATTAGTGAAATACTTAATATTATACTCCACTTTTAATAATTTAATTATAAACACTAGCCAAGACTCCAAAACTCCCTGCTGAAGAGAAACTGTTCAGTTCAGCATTTCACAAACCTATTTTAATCATTTAAAAAAATTGATTGTCCTATGAAGGACATCTCTTAAACTCATCAACAACACTGGGATCTCCAAAACAATTTGGAAAAAAGAAATGACAAAATTGTCGCTCTATAGGTAATTCTCATGTAGTTTTACAAATTTAATTAGGATAAAACTAGATTTGCCTACGAGAAATGACATCCTGCAGCAGAAAAACAAGTGGCTAAAAAACACTTTGTTTTAATTACTTTGTGTTTTATTAATCATAACAGGAAGTAATAAAAATGGCAAATATATCTAAAGAGATTCTAAAATGGGATACGATAATACAAATGATGGAAGGTAAAGAAAGGCTCTTGTACTTGAGAAAAAAAAACTACATGTAATCGAGCTGGATTTGCCTTGTGATGTTCAGGATTTAGTTTTGCGTTTTATATATTTTTCTAAACATTGAAATTAGGATAATAGCCGAAACCAGTTTTGCTCAATGAATAGAGCGTCGGCTTGGGGGCTGAAGGGACCCGGGTTCGATTCCGATCAAGGGCATGTACCTTGGTTGCGGGCACATCCCCAGTAGGGGTGTGCAAGAGGCAGCTGATCCATGACTCTCTCTCATCGATGTTTCTAGCTCTCTCTCTCCCTTCCTCTCTGTACAAAATCAATAAAATATATTTAAACAAAAAATATAAGAAGTTAGAATAATAATGTTTTATTATCAAATCTGAGATATTCTACTGAAACTATTTTTACACTAGAGGCCTAGTGCAGGTAATTCGTGCCTGGGAGAGGGGAGGGGGAAGTATCCCTCAGCCCAGCCTGCACTCTTTCCAATCTGGGACCCCTTGAGGGATGTCCAACTGCTGGTTTAGGCCCAATAAACCAACAGTCGGAGATCCCTCTCACAATCCAGGACTGCTAATTCCTAACCACTTGCCTGCCTGCCTGCCTGCCTTATTGCCCCTAACCACTAATGCCTGCCAGCCTGATCACCCCTAACCACTCCTTTGCCAGCCTGATTAACACCTAATTGCTCCACTGCCTCCTGATTGCCCCCCCAACTGCCCTTCCCTGCTGACCTGATAGCCCCTAACTGCCTCTGCTTGCCTGATCACCCCTAACTGCCCTCTCCTGCCAGCCTGATCTCACTCCAAACTGCCCTCTCCTACAGTCCTGATCTTGTCCCCAACTGCCCTCCTCTGCCAGCCAATTTGGTTTGATTGGTCTGTTTCTATGCCAGTCAGCTTCAAAAGCTCCGCCTCCTAGGCAGCCATTGGCTCCTCACACTTAACCCAGATTTGATTCTGATTGGTTGATTTCTATGCCAGTCAGCATCTCTGGGCCTATCAATGGGGCCTGATGAGAAAGGGAGGGCTGATCAGCATCCCCGGTGGAGGCCTGGAGAGAAACAGAAGCATGGCTGTTGACCAGGCCTGGAAAGAAAGAGGCAAGTGCTGATCAACAACGGCCACAGAGGCTATAGGTCAGACCCTGCCTCTCTCTTTGGGCCTCTCTCCAGGCCTGATTGGCAGCCCCTAAGCAGTTGGTTCTGGGTCACTACACCTGTACACACAGCAGTCAGTGTTGGGTTGCTAAGGAAACCCAGTGCAGACTACAGGACTGACTTCTGGTTGGTTGAACCTCCTGGTCAGTGTGGATGTGATGGACCAGGGTTTTAATATATTATTATTGTTTCTCAATGTCAAGTTACTTAGAAACACGCCTATCAAGTTAATAGTACAAATGACTATATACACCTACCTTACTACGATCAGAGGCACTAAGTTAACAGAGAATGTGATAAAATAAGGGGAAAATAACAAGACTCAGATTAAGTTACTTAATAGAGACTGGGAAGAAACATTCCATACACAGATCAAGTCTTACTATGGGAAATGTCATTCCAAAGTTCTACCTAATACAGTAGAGTAGAATTTTATGTATAGATTAGTCTAAAGTAAGGAAGAGAAAAATTACCCTAGAAAGTATGTCTGACATTTTCAGATGATTTTAGGACTCTCAAAATTCATTTGCTATGATTTGAAATGATCTGAACACACCCACTATTTTTATTAATAAGACAGTTACAAAAAGAAACAAGAAACCAATTTCTTACCGGTCAAAGAGACTGTCATGAACAACATAGACAGAACATACACTGAGATCTATTAATCCTTTTGGTTTTGTAGCTCGTTTTTCACTCTCAAAATAAATAAGTTGGGCATCACTGCCCTCTAAAATAAAATATAAATTTTTCCACCGTTTTCCTTTGCCTGTCAGAAAAAGAAAAGTTCCCTTAGCAAAATGATGAATGATTAAGTCATATATATATTAAAATCATAATTATCATTGCTGAAAAGAAAATATTTCAATTTTTATTCCAAAGCTTAAATAACATACTAATACTTATAAAATGAGAAAATGTTTATAATTTATCTGTAGAAAACTACTTTTTAATGAATCAGAGTAAATGACAAGGATATTTAAACTATATCTTTGGAAATTTTATTATGATAAACTATTTAAAATTCTTATTTAGGAGTAATTTCTTTCAGTCAAAAAACACACAACTACAATTAAAAATAAAACTCTTCAACTAACCATGTGCCCTTCCAACCCCCTAACATTTCTCAATGTCAGATGGAGGCCAATCTATACAATAATCAATACCATGAATGTGCTAAGTTTCTCTTTTAAAAAATGGGGTGGGGGTAGTGTTATGAGGTAAAGAATCAAATGCCTAGCACTGGAACTGAACTCAGGATTTAAAGACATAATTGGAAATACGTAAGCTTTTTTTCTAAAACTTTAAAAGCTCTCTAGTTAAGGGTCAATTACTAATATTTCTGGTCAAAAAAAACTTATTAAATAACATATCTCAATGTAAGTACAATGCTTTATTGTAAATAGAAAATTACTGAAACTGAATCATTAGTTTTAAAAGTTTACACTTACCCTTTTTTAGAAGATAACCTTTTTTAACAATATTTTTATAAAAGGCATCTTTTGTTTTTCGACGAATTGTATTATATATTTCTTTGCCATCCACTGTATCATTGAGTACTTGTTCTTGATCCTGAGTTTTTAAAAGTATTAAAATTGTTTCAAGAATTCTTGATTGAAATTAAATAAAATATACTCAACTATAAATTAAAAACCAGATTATGTGTCTATCTAGACATAAAGAAAATGTTTTAAGTACTAAAATCTAAATGATTGTGACACATAAATTAAGAGGTCATTTGCTTTCCAAGAAATTCTCAAAAACATTTCTTTACCATTCTCAAAAACACAGACAACTAATTACCTATTTTCAAAAATACAGTAGTCCCTCTTTATCTCTGGTTTTGTTTTCTGTGTTTTCAATTACCTTCAGTCAATCACTATTCAGAAATATTGAATGGAAAACTCCATAAATGAAACAATTCTAAATTGCATGCTATTCTGAGTACTGTGATGAAATCCCACCTAGGACTTTTGTCCAGTGATCCACGCTACATCTGCTTCTTGCCTATTAGCCATCTCAGATCAACTGTTGAGGTATCACAGTTCTTGTTTTCAAGTAACCCTTCTAGTAGCCTAACACTGTTACAATGCCTATGTCCTTTACCTCACTATCTCATCATGTAGACACTGTATCATCTCAACATTATCACAAGAAAGGTGAATACTGTACAATAAAATATTTTGAGAGAGAACAAATTCACATAACTTTTATTACAATACTAGAGGGCCCAGTGCACAAATTCATGCACAGGTGGGGTCGGCTACCTGCCCTGATGGGGGGGACAATCGGGCCAGGCTGGTGGGAGGGAGGGGACATGGGAGGTTGGCCAATCCTCTGCCCAATCAATGGGGGGGCCGATTGGGGTTGGGGGTGGGGATGGGGGGAGGGGATGAGGGCAGTTGGGAGGTCCAACCAGGGCCCCAATCAGGCTGGTTGGCTGCTGCAGTACACATTCTAGTCGCTTAGCTTTTTATAGATAGATAGATAGATAGATAGATAGATAGATAGATAGATAGATAGATAGAGATATAAATATATAGATTTATATATTGTTTCAATTGTTCTATTTTATTAGTTATTGGTGTTAATCTCTTACTGTACTTAAATTATAAACTAAACTTTATGATAGGTATGTATGTTTAGGAAAAAATAGCAGGGTTTGATACTATCTACAGTTTCAGGTATCCATTGGGGGGACTTGGAACATATTCCCCTTGGATAAGAGGGGACTACTGTACAGTTGGTTTTGTTGTATTTTACAGCAAATGACATTTTGAAAACTTAAATTTGTCCCAACATAATGAAAAATCAGGAACCAATTTAAACATAAAGCAGGTCCTGTTTGCTTATATGTACAAATACATATGTGAGATATACTCGGTAAATGCAGAAAACTGCAACCAGCTGATTAAAACATGGGGGAATATACAAAACACCACTCAGATCCCTTCAGTGATCCAAGTGGTATATGCCATACCCATCTATCCACATCTGGTATTATAATGCCAACTGTTTCAGATAATCCTCTTCTTGCTACCTTACAATATTCAAAACCCTTCCAATTGTGACTGTCACAAGTAAACCTGACCTTTTACAGGGTAAAATGCCATATTTATTGTAGTGTTCATTAACACTTCATATGTACAAAAACTAGGATACAGTTCTTTAAGTGTCACTGATGAAGTTTTAGTATTGTGTGCCTAACCACATTTTTCCTACCTACTACTCTGTGGTTTTTACTACATAACTACATATAACACTATGGCTTTTAAAAATAATATGTCTTAACTGCTAACCACTCCCCCTGCCCCAATTACAAAAAGAAGTATGACATCAGGAAAAATTTAAAGTTTTAAATTCAATCCAATTTTAAATGCATGAGTGTGTATATACACATATTACCAAAAATGCTAATTATTGCAAAAAGACAACACTGACCTGCATTGGTACAGGTTCCTTAAGATAATAACCTTCAACAATTTGTTCTTTTCGATAGTGATCTATGATGTCCCCAATACTGTTAAAATAAAAATTACTTACATTGAAATCACTTGTCTCATAGTAAAGGTGATCTATTTGCAAGTTTTTCCAAAGCATATAATCAGAATACATTAACAGATTATATAATCATAATAGTCATATTATTATAGAAAAATAAGAATGTTCCCAATACTGGTTTACAATCAGGATACCTTAGTCAGAGATTCCAATTTTTTATACACATACTTAAAAGTCACTACTGAGAAAAGAATTAAAGGTCTATTTTTTAAATTTTTAATAAGAGTATTTCTGAAACTGAAAGGAACAGAGAAATGCCATTTATTTATTAGCAAGTAGTGAATTACCAAGTAGTAAACTAAATTTTTATCATCAAAACATTTACATATTCTGCTTTTATAATAATAATGTAAAGTTAGGTCATAAAACATATAAATAACAGATGAAAGCATAGGAAGAAAAAGAATAGGAGCTAATCTTACATGTAGGATTATTCTAAGGCTTATTAATGATTTTGAGAAACATCAATCAGTTGGTGTATAGGGCAATACTCCAACCAACAGAGTCACTGGCCAAGGCAATTATTTTATCTTTTAGAAAAGTCTCAAGTTAAGCATTTATCAATTCAGTTAAGAGTATGTGTTTAAAATTCAATTTTATAGATTCCAAATCCCCAGAAAACTGGACAATGGGGAAAATTAATTTACCTTCCTAAAGGGCTCAAGTTGCAACTAGCTAGCTATTCAGTGATGTCTAGATCAGAATGTAATTTAGAAGGTACTCAGCAGATTATTTGTAAGGTGCACAAAAGATATGTCAAGACTTGCAAGTTCCATCTGACGCTTTGTAAGTGTCTAGTGAACATCTCACAAGCAATAAGAACTGGTTTTGGTGTGTGTTTTTTTGTTCTTTTATGTTTTCCAAATAGACCAGCTCCTGAATCCCTATATACTCAAAGGTCAAGCTAGAATTGGGAGAAATTCTAAATGAACAAAGTATGACACTGTATGAAGTTTCATTTTAGCTTGTAGAAAACAATACTACTTAGAGTTACCCAGTAAGGGAAAACCTTTATAGTCAGAAATAAAATGAAAAAGCAACAAGCAGACTGTCAAATTACAGCAGGGAGGGTAGGGAAATCTGGGGGAGATAATAGATCAATCGAAGGACTTGTTTACATGCATATAAGTACAACCAATGGACACAAAACTCTGGGGAGGGAGGGTATGTATGGGGGGGAGTGCAATGGTAAGATATGTACACAGATAATAATTTAATTAAAAAAAAAAAAAAGAAAATGAAAGATGACTTTCTGTTGTGCAAAAATAGGTGACATCCTGGCATGTGGTTTCTTTATTAACTTACTAGAGACCCAATGCACAAAATTTGTAAGAGTCGGCCTTCCTTCCCATGGCTGCTGGCACTGGCTTCCCTTTGGCACCCGGGACCTGGGTCCCTCTGGCCACCTGCACGTACTCAGGACCCGGGCTTCCTTGGAAGCCCCAGCTTCGCCCAGAAGAAGCCCGGAAAGTCATCCAGAAGGATGTCCAGTCTAATTAGCATATTATGCTTTTATTATTATAGGTTACCTAATCAGGGGACTAAAATCCATTCTAAGTTTTGGAACATGCAAAGAGTTTACTTAGAATTTTAAAGATGAGAAATAGGAACCATAATTACAAATAAGAAATATCAAATTTGAGAACAATCCAATTACGTTTGTAGTAAGAACAATCCAACTACATTTGTAGTGGTTACTCTTTAAGAACTTTTTTCCTATTAAAATGCCTGATAAAAGAATGAATTTTCCTTTCTGAAGTGTTTTGCTCTCCTACAGATAATGATTTAGCAAATCAAATTAGCTTGTTGATAAATAATAAAAAATATATATAAATTTGAAGAAAATAAGTTATTAATTTATATTCATGTCTAATCTTGGACATTACTACTCAATTATTAAAGGTTTTTTAACTTTAGATTTTAAAAAGTCAGAAATATTAATTTATATAGTTAAATTACTGAGATTTCGACTATTTCTGCAAAAGTAAAAGAAAACTAAAAAATGTCTCTCAACTTACCTGTTGTAATATCGGCCTCCCATCATAAACTGATTGTTTGGTGTTGGACATATTTTAAATCGCTGAATATTTTCATTGGTCCGAAAATAAAGTGAATAGTCACCAGGAGTATTGTCTGAGGGCCTCACAAGAAAACTGCAGACTTGGCCAACTGTAAAAATTAAGCTGTTAGTTTTATTCCCTAATTATCAAATAAAAAGAAGCATTAATTACAAAAGTACAATAAAAAATAATAAATGCATACTAATTTTCACCAGGAACTTATTTTATAATAAAGATAATCTTAAGACTTAAAAAAAATTTTTTCTAGTTATAAGTCACAAAACCCTTGACGCTGCTTATCTTTATTATATATTAATAAAGAACAGAAGCCTGCAACAGTGACTTTTGGTTAATAATGTCAATACCTGTCAAACTTGGAAAAAATAATCTCAGCACAGCTAAGGGATATTAGTTAAAAATGATACATTTTTGGTAAAACCACTAAGTAAAGAAAAATGCTTAAGAGTATTCTGTACTTTATCAATACTTCTGATTAAAAACTAAAAAATAGTGACTATAATAAAATGGTAACAAAAGCTTACAAAGGTAAATTCAAAACAGTTGAAATATTTGCTCAACTTATAAAAATCAATACATATGCACTATATTTCATTCAATAGGAACAGTCCTGAAAAGTCATATAGAAGCAAATCATTATATATTAATTTTAGAGAAGTTTTTTTGATTAATTGGCAGTGACTCAACACTAAGATGCATTTGCCCTCTCACTGTTTAAATCCTAATGACATAGATCAGAACTTGCTTGCTTTAAGGAAAGAACAATAAACACTCAAAATATCAGACTTAATTTTTATGTAAATTACAAATTGTTCCAATCTTTCCACCCAGGCACTCACTACTAAGTCATTTCATGTTCAATATAAAGAATTGGAATTAATGCAAAATTGTGTATGCAAGTGCTTCTGTGTATTTTTAAGTGGAGAAAAATCACAGGATTCTTAAAGAACACATATCCAATAAAAATAAAAGACTAATGTAAGGAAATTAAGTTTTCCTCCTTTCAACTTTATATGCCTAAAAACAACAGTGAGTGCCAAGTATTTGGTGGTGTACCTATAAACTTATATACCAAAAATTCAGTAAATTCATAAAATAAGTATTTTGGTCTCATTGAAAGCTGATAGCATGTCATTTTGGTTGAGTAGTTGGCCTTCATAACTACCATGTTCTTTATTTTGAACCTAGTTAACCGACATCCTTACAATAAAATTGAACAGTTCTAAAACTGCCTCAAATTTTTCAGAAGAGCAACGAAGTAAATAACTATATTAAAATGCAATGCCTTATGGCTTAAAATAACTCAGATAACATCTTTAACAATCAGTAGTATATTTACCACATACAGAAAACATAGGAACTCTTGAACTCTGGTTGTTTTTTAAAGAACAAAGAATTCTAAATTATAGATTGCATGTAAACTTGTTTCAGATCGTATTGTTTGCTGAAGAAATATTTGGTAGTTAAATTTAAGTCTTAAATATTTAGGATAGAATAGTTTTTGTATTAAATATAAACCTACAACACAAGTCAGTTGTTACTTTGCATATCTCTATAACCACAGTTTGGAAAATGTTCAAATTAACATATTCTAAATAAAGTCCAGTTATATAGTTCTATAAGTGCAGAAAGATAAATGCAATAACATTTGCTGCAGCTAAATAGCAAAAAATAATAATTAAAACTGATTATAAATTATGGTTTTATACAAAATGGAAAGCTCATGATCATTAAAAAGGAGAAATGAAAGCTTATATATACAGATATGATACAATCTCCCCAAATATATTCTAATAAAAAAAAGTATGTTGTATGTTTCTGTGAGTGTGCGTGGGGTGGTTATGTATGAAGGTGTGTTTAGGGGTAAGGAAGATACAGAAAGCTTCAGAAACAACAACAAAAAACCCTCTCATCTGGTGCTGCTTATGGAGGACAGGAGCCTGAGGCAGAAGAAAAACATACTTCACTAACTGTTATACTGCATGTATGTTTTCAACAAAAAAACACCAAAAAACAAATACACAAGTTTCTCAGTGCTGGGTAAGAAATTACAATATGCATATATATCAAATAAATAATAAAGGCAAAATAACATGATGAAACAGTTGGTTTGCTTTTTTAAAGTATTTTTAAATGAAGACATCAGAAAAGGCAAGTGAATATATGAGTACCTGTCATTAGTAAATTATAAGCTTCTTGTTTGGAAATTTTCCCATGGAACCATCTTAAAAAGAGAACAGTATTTATGGCTGTTAAGTATAATTCAAACTGACAAAATAAATGCAATACAACTGATCAATTATCTCATTCCTTTTACGTGTAAGTTACAACACTATAAACATGCATAAATTCAACAAAACAAGAAAAATTAGAATCTAATATGAACTACAATTTCTATATTAATTACCAATACAAAACAGCAATGATTTCAATCCTAATAATAACAAAGTGTTACATACATCCTTACATCACAGCTAGTGTTCTCTTTTATTTTTATTGGAAGGAAGGGGTGATATAGGTAGTGCCCACTATAAACCCAAAATTTTTAAAGAGGTATAAATTCTCATATTTCTCTCAAAGTGAATTTTTATATGTGATAAGTTCTCAAAAATAAATAAATAAGGCTGATTCAGAGTTTACTGAAAATCAGAAAATAAGACTTAATAGATGACAACTCCAGATCAACTCTCTACCACTTTGCCATATATTCTTAGGGTCTTCAATTGTTTTTAAAGTGGCTTAAAGAGCAAGTTGGAAAGTAGAAATAAAATATAAGTGCCCTAAGATCCAATGTTAAAAGTTTAGAAGCTATCCATACTATTTTAAATTATCCATACTATTACTGATCAAAGTATTAAAATGTAACTGAATTTTTACCTTTTCACATAAAATGTGAATGGATGTAAAGTTAAGCTTTTAAATTATCTCTTTAACTTTAGGCCAACCATTAACAGATCTCCTGGGACTCTCAATGCAAATATGATCAATTCAAAGTCAAATATACAACACCTGGAGCAGTCTGGGTGGCCTTAAAAGGTAATGAGGTTCTATATTGCATTCAGTTATATTCTAAATGATTATTTACTACAAATGTTAAAACAGGATTTCTATATTCCAGGGAAGAATTGATTAAATGACCTCCAGTCCTATTTATATAGCTAGAATAAAGGGGAAAAAGGGAATTCTAAAGAGAAGAGACAGCAAATGAAGTTTAGAGAATAAATTGGTAATATCGTTTTCTGAAAAAATTAGATTTGAGTTTCTTCATTCATACATTACCTATATGTAACATGTTTATATTTCATGCACATAGTTTGTACCCCTGACAGAAAGACCAATCTGTTTTTTAGGAAGTCCCCATACTAATAAGCAAAAGTGACACAAATACTGTATAACTATAAAAACGATGTAGAAAAACTAATAAAGCATAGTGAAAGAAAACCATGTGCTCAGGGCCCTTTTGGAATAACAGAGAAGGGGCACACCAATTCCGTAGAGAGTAGAAAGTAAAGGAAGACTTCTTGGGAAGAGTGATATATGAGTTAAATCTTTAATAGGAATTAACCAAAAACAATGGAGGGGATTTCTGGCCTAAGAAATACCTTGAGCAAAGGAGAAAAACAATATCCCCAGCCCCAATCATGCACCCATATGGTCCCTCGGCCTGGCCTGTGCCCTCTGGCAATCCGAGACTCCTCGTGGGATGCTGGAGAGGCAGTTTTGGCCAGATCCCACAGGCCAGGCCAAAGGACTGCTTGGGTGCACAAATCCATACACTGGGTCTCTGGTAAAATACATAAAAGCATGGCGATGAAAACAAAATAATGCTATTAATATATCAATAAGAAAATAAAAAATATGAGGAAATGTGACATTCATAGTTATTAATGTAATGTTTACTTTAATGATATAAAAGTTATATATAGGTATAAGCCATCCTCATTATTTAAAAATAACACTTTATCACTAGATCCTCAGAAAATATTTAAACAGCAGTTCCTAAGTCAAATAAGATAAATTTTAAGTGAGCCCCCAAAGTATCAATTTTTTTTTTTAATATTTTTTGGCCAAGGTTACCCAATTAGTGGGTTTACAATTTTTTTTCCTTTTTAATAATTCATACAAACTCACATTTTGCCTTCATGTGGATCTTCTTCCCGGCCCTAAAGGGAAAGACATTAAAACAGTATTTTGTATAATTAACTATTAATCTATTTTTATTAAAATTAATTAAAAAATCATACCTTCAAACATTTCTACCCTGCTCTTCATAATATAAATAATGTATATGAAAAAGAGTTTCTGTTGCAGAAATGTCTTTAACAAAACTCTCTCCTTACTGTTCTTATTCTAATTCAGGCCCTTTTCCAAAACTATTACAGTATCCCAACTAGTGCCCTATCCTGCCACTCCAATCTAGACTCATCAGTTTGTCTTATATTAAGAAACACTAAGACAAAAACAGATAAATTTTTAAAACCAAACCTTTAATACCCCTCTACTGCCTAACAAATTCCTCATTTGACAACCAAAATCCTTTATCATATGACTCACACCTATGTTTCCATTCTCATACTCTTTAGGTATCTATTCCATGTCACACATAACTTACCTAATTGCTTATCTACATTCTCCCAACACTGTAACTTATTTTACTTAAAATGTCCTTTTTACTCACTGCTTCCTGTTAGTTAAAACGTAAACCATCTAGACAGGATCAATCTGAAACACCATCTTATAAGTGAGGAACTGAGTCCCTAAAATGTAAATATGAAATTTTATTTTGAATAGAGAGGACATCCTTTTTTTTTTATCATCTTTTGAACTTTATCTTACTCTTTTTAACACTATTATTTCAGATATACCAGTGTTATTCATTCTATTATAGTAACTATAAGCATCTTAAACTCTTAGTGCTTCTTTGTTAACACTCATCACCAACACAACCACCTGCACAGTGCTAGGCATATAATTTTCACTGAAAATACAGGGCGGGGCAAGAGTAGGTTTATAGCTGTGAGTGCACAAAACACAGAGCTAATTATTGTATTAGGAGCCCAGTGTGCAATTCAAAATCATGAGGAGCCAACCACCCTCGAGTCACTGGTCCAGCCCTGCCTCCCTCCCGGGCCCTTGAAGCAACCACAGCTGCTGCTGATCAGGCCCACCTCCAGCCTAGGCCCCTACTACCCCATCCCCAATACTGCACGCATAACCTCCTCCTGTCCGGTCTACTGGCTATGGCATCCTGGTTAATTAGCATATTTCTCTCTTTTATATATATATATATGTACATATCAATATATGTACATATCAATACACACACACACACACACACACACATATATATATATATATATATATTTCCCTCCCCAATATGAACTGTAATTCTACTTTTGCCATACCCAGTATAAGAAGAATTGTAGTTTTACCAAACTTAGTACCTGGCACTAAGTTTTCAATGAATAATGAAAGAGAATAGAAAAAGGACCAAACTATATATGGATATATTTCTCTCAATTAAGTTCTCACTCATTAAATACTTAACCAAACTAAAATCAAATATTCACTGAACACCCATTATACTACAAAGCAGTATATTAAAAAGTTACATAAAAACAGAATATATTACCATTGCCCAAAGGAGTTAATATCTACAGAAGAGGTTTACACAATAAATCAATGTTACAAAATGTAATGAAATATAAAATTAAGGTGTTATGTAAATATAAGATGGAATGATTTAACCTGTTAACCGAGCGGGACGTATAAATACATCAAACGTAAATAATATTGGGTGCAGGTAGGACATATGAATACGTCCTTGAAATATATGTTGCGCCCTGAAAGGGGCGGGACGTATATTTCTGAACAACAAAGGTATTAATTCATGCATGTCTCCACATGAATTTAAGACATGGAGGGAATCAGTATAATTTCACTAGTGAGAGTGGTGGATGTGTTCAACAAGAATTGTTTTGGAATTAACACATGACTTACTGAATAAAGGGTATAGGACTTACTTAGATAATTTCTATACGTCAATTCATTTGGCTGAACTCTTGTGTCAAAACAATACAAACATTGTTGGAACAATGAGGATAAACAGTCTGAAACCCCAGTGAAATAAAAACAAAAAAATTACAGAAAAATGAACATATGTAAGAATCAAAGACAAACTTATGGCTTTAAAATGGAAGGATAAAAAAGACGTATTGATGCTCAGTTCTATTCATAATGAAGAAAAGACAATGATTGAAAAGAGAGGAAGAAGGCAAGAAAAACCGAATGTTGTCCTGGATTATAACAAGAATATGGGCGGCGTAGATTTGGGAGATGGAGTTATGGTGGCCTACACGGCTGTCCGTAATAGGGTAAAAAAATTTATTAAAAAAATTTTCTACGATTAACTGATATGTGCTGCTTCAATGCATATATTATATACAAAAAGATAAAGGTCATTTGGATCGATTACACTTTTTGATAGAGTGTGTAGAGAAATTGGTAGATAACAACATAGTGAAAACCCACCCAAAGACATCAACAAGCAGCTCTATGTCTAAACCATCACGCTTAGTTGAAAGGCATTTTCCAGAACAAATGAAAAGTGATATAGGAAAAACTAAATCCAAAAAATGCCGAGTTTGCTACAAAAAAGGTGTTAGAAAAGAATCTACATACTATCCAGATTATAAGGTAGCACTATGTATCAACAATTGTTTTAAAATATATCACACGGAAGTTGAGTTTTGAATTTTTACACCCATATTTTAATTTTTTAAACTCAATATTTCTATTTTATTTGTGTGCTTTTGTTTATTGTTCTGTAATTGTTAACTTTTTTATATTTTTTGTGTATTGAAATAAAAAATATATATATTTTTGTAATCTTTATAATTGTTTGTAAACTTTATAATTTTTTAATTCGATGTTTCCATTTTTTTGTTGGTATTCTTTTCTATTTGTAATTTTGTATTTTCCTTTCTGCTTTATATATAAACAAAAAATATATATTTCATAGTCTCTTCATTTATTTTAAGTATAAAAAAATAATAATAATAATATGAAATTACATCCTCCGGGCGTGACGTACTGACATGTCCCAGTGAAAGAGGACGCGCCCGTTATGCGTTGCTTAATTAAAAAGGGAACTCCGGGTTAACAGGTTAACCTAAGAAAATCTAGAAATGCATAAAACCTCTGTGAAAGAAAGGGCAACACCTACACTGAATGGAAAAAGATGAATCGATTTTACATGGCAGCCTAGCAGGGCAGAAATGTCAAGGAAGAGGGAAAAGAATAGTTACAGAGATAATCATTCATTCAACAAATATTTACTGAATGCCTAGTAATGCCAGACACTATTCCAGGCAATAGGGATACATAACTGAGTCAGAGACAAATTTGGTTTACATCCTAGATTTAAAACATAAAAGTCTAAATGTGCCTGGGGAACAGTAATTAGAATTTCAGGGTGGGAAATTATTTAAATCCAATCACCAACTGAATTGAATGCCTGAAATCTAGACAACCTCTGATGGCTTTTCAATCTACAAGGAATCATCACTCTATTTCAATGAGGACCATAATGAAAATTTATTCTGAATATTAGAGTAAAAGATTTTTTATAACTCCAACCTGAAACTAGGCCACTAGTAATTCAAAGTATTATTATATTCATTTTTAGAAGCCACATCACACTGTTTTCACACTGTTTACTCATACCGAGTTGTTAACTTTCTTTTTTTTCTTTTTCTTTTTTTCCTTGTATTGACTTGAGGTCATATCTCCTTATCTTAAATTGAGCAATTTCTTTTTCTGTCCTCATTAGATAACTTTCACTTAATAAAGTTTATCTTGTTAAATTTGACCCAGAATTCCAAATTCTAACATAAAAGTTTCGATTAAGAAATTTTGTAGTAAAACCAATACAGGTAGTAAGTTTCTTCAGTTTGAACACTTCTTGCCTATCTACACTATAAAAGAGAAAGATGCAAATTGACTATACCTCTGTGATGCCCACCAGCCAATAATGAGCCCAACAAAAATGGCAGGTTAATTTGCATATGCAAAGACTGGAGGCTCCCCCAGAGAGAAGACTGAAGACTGAAGGCTCTGCTGTGGCCAGAGCCAAGCCTGAAGGCTGAAGGCGTGGCTCCGCTCCTCTGTGGCCCAGGTCCTGGGTGCCGGGAAAACCAGTGCCGGCAGCCAGGGAAAGGAAGGCCTATCGCACGAATCTTCATGCAATGGGCCTCTGGTATGGAGTAAATATCTCTCCTACTGTGGAATACAGAATACTAATCTAAGGATTCAAAAGTCTAATCTTACCTCTTCTACTAAGTAACTATTGTGACTATGAGTATAGAATATATCATACCATTTCCTTAATTCCTCATATAACTTACTTCTACATATCAAGATCTGGCTGCCAGAATAGGCAGACAAGAGCACTAATAGCAAAGAAAAATATTTTCCATTGCCGTGTTCCTGCAACAATAATCAGATCACAGATTTCAAAGCTTATTTCCAGGTTTATGGCATAATTTAAAAACATTAGTACTGGCTGGTTAGGCTCAGTGGATAGAGCATTGGCCTGCAGAAAGAAGGGTCCTGGGTTCAATTTTGGTCAAGGGCACATACCTCCATTGCAGGCTCAATCCCCAACCCTGGTTGGAGGCAACCAATCGATGTCTCACATCGCTATTTCTTTCTCTCCCCCTCCCTTCTCCTCTTTCTAAAAATCAAGGAAAAATATCCTCAGGTGAGGATTAACAAAATAAAAAAATAAAAACATTAGTTCTGGGGGGTTGTAAAAGATAACAAAAAAATTCAATTTTTCTGGACAAATCCAAAGTTTGTGAATTCCAAATTTGTAAAATAATGTTTGCTACATTTCAGTGATAGAGTATTATCTCTGAAATGCAAATGCTGCTGGAATGCTGACCTGAAAATGTGCAACTTACTAATTATGTATTATGTGATGACAATAAAAACGAGGAATACTTAAAATGTAGAACCATAAGATAATATGTGTGTAACATAACTGAGTTTTTCCAAGGTTACTAGAAAATTATACATAGATTTGGGAGATAAAGAATTTGAGATTCAATGATCAGTGACATAACATCATTTATGAGGAATATCAAGAAAACAAAAGGAATACAAATAATACAAATGCTAATACATTTTTTAATTCTTAGAAACTCATGAAATCTGAAAATTGGCAGCTCTAGATTAAAACATGCTAGCTTGGCTATGTTTTTAATAAATAACTATCACTAATAGTAAATACATTTTAATAAAATTTGTGAAGTGAGGTTTATCATAGATAAAAATGTATTCATAGATAATTTTCCTAATTATGGACAAGTTCCACAATTTTACAAAAATTTAGAATTCTAAGAGTGAGAAGAACAGAACAAAACTTACCACTTCTTCTACCAGGTCTTCAACAATTAGGCCTTGTTCATCCGTTCTTAGATTTGTAACCCACATCCACCCATCTTCTAATTCATTATGAACGATGAACATATCTCCTTTTAAGAAACTGAAAATAGCAAGTATAAAGGTATTGACATTAAAAATTTTAAACTTGAAAATTTGAGTAGTCATGTAACACACCACAGAGATAATGATGATACCGGAAAAATGCAACAGATTAAAGTCAAATAACCTGGGATTTTTGTCCTATTTCTAGCATTTTCTACAAGTAAAATGTTTTGTAATTTAAAAATCTGAATTAATTTCCTTACAGGTAAAATAGATTAATAAATGTCCCTGAACTATATGTATCATTGGATTATATTAGATTCAAATTGGAATTTTTGATAACAATAATTACATGCGTATTGTAGGCTTTGGAGTATAACTTCAAGAAACCTGAACTTGGAAATTTAAGTGTCAATGTTATCTTTCAGAGGCAAAATAGATATAAAATTATAAACACAAAGTAATTAACTCATTACACATACACAAGATACTTACTTTAGAAAAAGTTTATTTGACATAAGCACAATTAGCCTTATTAAAAATCTTACAAGAATTAACAATTTTCTATTAAAAATATTAGGTTTTATTTAATTCATTCAGACATCCATGAGCCAATAAGCATAGCATTCTTCCTTTAAAAGTGGTTCCTTGGTAAACACATGAGAACACATGCATGTTTTTTGTTATCCATTTCTGAGTAGAGGGATGCCAATACTACCTTGTTCTTTTCATAGGAACCTAGATGTTTTCAACCTCCACACAATCACAGGATAAATATGTTGTTGATGTATATCATCAATGTAAAACCATCAATAATTCCTTAAACCTTCCGTTTTAGGCTTGAATAAATGCCTCTGAAGGCTTAAGGTTTCAAGATTGGTAAGATACTACCATTGATCCTATTTCAATATCCATATGTGTCATATATTTCTTTATCAATTTTTCTTTCAGTCTTAATATTCATAAACTGAAGTTCAATTAGGTAAATCTAAGAAACTTTTTTCCAGGCTATCTCAAGCTTCACGGTTTCTTGAACAAGTTTAAGAATAAAATACTTGTATACAATACTTTATACTCAATTTGAATAAGCATAGAATACTGCATTCTATCTTTTAAATAGCTTACTTTTATTTTACTTTTTTAAAATTTATTAGTGTGACACTGGTTAATAAAACCATATAGGTTTCAAGTGTACAACTCATTAAATATCATCTGCACACGGCATCGTGCTCACCACCCAAAGTCAAGTCTCTTTCTGTCCCCATTTTATCCCCCACCTTTGCCTGTTTCTACCTCTTCCCACCCCTCTTTCCTTTTGGCTATCACTATACAGTTGTCCCTTGTTCTTTCTGCATATCCCTTCACGGAGGTAGGGGGAGTTGTTTGCAATCTATCTTGATTTCCACAAATATTGTTAATGGTAACCAGTATTTTACTAGCTGAATAGCAAGCAGACTTTACCACTTAAAAGTAAATTTTTCCTTTTTAAAACCAACTACATTAACTAATACATTCAATAAAATAGTTATTGAGTAAATAAGGGATTTCATATGAGCAAGAAAAAAAGAGAAATGAGAAGTGACAAGTGTCATATATTGGTCAAAAGCAGTCATCTGAGTTTTTACTTTATTTTTGTCTTCTGTCATTGTTGCTATACTACTAACTTTTTATGGTGCAAAAACACACAAAAATTTAAAATAAAAAACTTATCAGCACAAACAATATAAGATTCATTCTATATTATTTTACATTTTTCACCATAAGAGGTAAAGTACTTTTGCTAAATCTCATCAATCTTCAGATATTTTTATCTAAAAAACTTCACAGGTATACCCAAATTTCAAAAAAATTCTTAACTTCAAACATATTTTAAAAATTAAAATGTTTACAATTCAAATTCTTATTTAAATTTTCGTCTTCCTAGATCAGTATTTCTTGATTCTGAGGCAGTCTCTCAAGACTCCTTTACATTCTTAAAAACAGGTATTTTAAAAGGTTTTTATTTATATGGGTTTTAGCTGTTGATACTTATATTATAAAATGTAAAATATGTTTTAAAATATGTACTAATTCATTTAATAATAATATACCCCATTACATAGTAATGAAACATTAAAAATAATTATATATATATACATATATATACATATATATATATATATATTTTTTTTTTTTTTTTAAGTGTAGTGAGAATATTGTTTTACATTTTTGTAAATCTCAATGTCTGGCTTAACTGAAAACTGATAGATTTTCCTATCTTTTTTTTTTTTCATTTAATCTGTTGCAATATATTTTGCTTAAAGTATATAAGGAATATCTGACTTCATACAAATATGTAGTTGTAAAAGTGATGAATATTTTAATAACCTCTCAGATAATTACAGATGATATTTTAACAAAAACTCAAAAAGTGGCACTTTCTTTAAGGTTAATTGTAATGTGGAATCCAAAACTATATATCAATAAACTTTCTGTACCCATTCCAATGATAATCATTTGTGGGTCTCATACTTTGATAGGATCTTTTACTTACACATAATTTTGTAACATCATGCTTGATCATTTAGAAAATACTAACTTACTGAGCTATGCAGATCTTCCAGATGTAAATACATTATACACTATCGAAACATCACATACTTTCTACCACTCTTATTACACATTTGGAATGTTGTCAAATTTTTGAAGGCTGATATAATATTTCCAAATTCTAACTTTTGCTTGAAAGCTCAAATTAAATTTTGTCAATGGCAACAAATACTGCCAAGTATGTCCCTTGAAGTAACACACTTTTTTTAAAACACAAAGTCAAATCTTGAGAATGAATAACCATAGCTTGCCTCTCTTTCTCTTAAGTAAAAATGTTGTGCACAAAAGGAGCATCTGTTTCAGCTCTAAACCCAATGCTTTTCCTCAAAATACTGAACTTCACAGTGAATATGCAGTGCTTTATTTGTACAGTATTTCCCATTTCATCACACAGAATATTTACAAGGGGCATAGTGCCCTAGCTGGTGTGTCTCAGTTGGTTGGGCATCGTCTCTGCACCGAAAGGTTGCCGGTTTAATTCCCGACCAGGGCACAAATCTGAGTTGTGGGCTCAATCCCCAGTAGTGAGCAGGCAGGAGGCAGCTATTAATGTTGCACTCTCACAATGTTTCTCTTTCTGTCCCTTTCTTTGCCCTCTCCCTCTAAAAATAAATAAAAATATTTTTTAAAAAGAAAAAGTAAACATACTTAAAAAAAAAAAAAAAAAAAAAAAAAAGGGCATAGCCAAGGGTTGAGATTTAATAAAATAAATATTTCTTATTATTTCATCAAGAACAATCTTAAGCCCTAGCCATTTGGGCTCAGTGGATAGAGCATCAGCCCTGAGACTGAAGAGGCCTTCCAGGTTCAATTCTGGTCAAGGGCACATACCTTGGTTGCAGGCTCGATCCCTGGTGCCGGTTGGAGCTCATGCAGGAGACAATCAAATGTCTCTCCCACATCAATATTTCTATCTCTCCCACTGCTTTACACTCTCTTTGAAAATCAATAGAAAGTACTAACTGGTTTGGCTCAGTGGATAAAGCATTAGCCTGCAAACTGAAGGGTCCCAGTTCAATTCTGGTCAAGGGTACATGCCTGGATTGCATGCTCGATTCCCAGTGGGGGGCATGCAGGAGGAGGCCAAGCAATGATTCTCTCTCATCATTGATGTTTCTATCTCTCTTTCCCTCTTTTTACTCTCTAAAATCAATAAAAAAAATAAATTAATAGAAAAATATTCTCGGATGAGAAGAGAAAGACAGACAGACAGACAGACAGACAGACAGACAGACAGACAGACAGAAAGAAAGAAAGAAAGAAAGAAAGAAAGAAAGAAAGAAAGAAAGAAAGAAAGAAAGAAAGAAAGAAAGAAAGAAGAAAGAAAGAAAAGACAGACTAATTTTAAATGAAACTGGCTGTTTTGTTTGTTGTCTAACTGCACTGAAAGAGCATGTCAAACTCAAAGGCTAACACAGGCCAAACAAACAAGGTTTAAATTTATGTGGGCAGTAAAAAAACAAAAGCTTCAATTTTCATAGAAACAGGTTTATTTCTATAGAGACATGCTGAATACAAGGGGCTGAAATAAATGAGTAATCATTAACATAATACATTTTAATAAAAATCAATATTTTTCTTAAACATTAACTTATCAGACACTAAATAACTGCAAAAATTAATAAGTGTAACATAAATAAACCTTTTTTTTTATTCTCCAAAAACGAAATACTTCCTATTGCACACACCAAACAAGTTAGTATAAGACTAATGACGTGGCAATCGGATGCTAAAATATTTGCTGACAGTATTAGAGGAGAGAAATGGTGCACCTGCGTGTAAGGCATGTAAGAAAAATGAATGCATCACTATTATGGAAGTCAGTCATTAGCAAATATTGTAGTTCATTGTTAATAACTAGAGGCCCGATTCACAAAATTCGTGCAAGAGACCTTCCTTCCCCAGGCTGCCAGAACCGGCTTCCCTCTAGCACCCAGGACCCAGGCTTCCCTCTGGCCACCAGCAGGCACCCGGTACCTGGGCTTCCTTCGCAGCCCCAGCTTCGTCCAGAAGGTAGTCCATCCAGAAGAACATCCAGTCTAATTAGCATATTACGCTTTTATTATTATAGATTATGTATAACAGGATATTGTAAAAATTAAGTTACAAAATTTTTATTAAAACATTTCTTATATACCGTTACATTGGCTGGGCTGCAAAAATGTTTGTTGTAGGCTACGAGTTTGACATGCTTGGTATACAGCTACTACCTTGAATTGTGGTAAGGCCAGTAGTTTTTACTGCCTTTACTTATGTATCATCAGTGCAAATGTCACAATGAAAAACACAAATGTCTTAGTATTATCATGATCAGTTAAGACACAGATGTCTTGTAGTAATAAAAGCTAAAATAGAGTATAGAATATAACAGAACTCTCCTTACTTTCAGAGATAGTCTAACAAAAGCTAAGTTATTTCTCCTGTCATCTTCACAGTGGCCACTCTGATCTAAATCCACAATCTAAACAGATAAGCCAACTATAATTACAAAACATCAGATTCAATATTAAAAGCACCTTTACCTTGCTGCATGTTATTTCCTCAAATTCCAAAACCTTCCGGTTCCAAGAGCAATAAGTTACTGAAGTCTTTCAAATGGCGATAAATGAGAACATGTTATTAAGTACCTTATTTCATCAGTGTCTGGAACTTTTGTGTAAGGCAGAATGGCTCGAACACGCCTCCTATCTTCTACTGGCTAAAAAACCATTAAAAAAAATTATTTACACAAGTAAATAACCTTTGTATATCAAAGTAAAATCAAGTATGTCCACACAAAGTGAAAACCAATAAAAACCAACAGTCTCACTCAAACTATGTCTTACTGATGCTCTAAATACCCAAAGCCTGTAAACGTTCGTCTTGTTTTTATTGTTATTTTTATAGAAATTCTTGCAACAGAATATGTTGTATCAAGTGTTATGAGCAATCAGTAAATCCTATATAATAAAAGCCTAATATGCAAATTGTTTGACCAGGAGTTCAACCAGAAGTTCGACCACTCACTATGACATGCGCTGACCACCATGCAACATGGCAGGCGTTGGCAATGTGACACTGGCAGTGGGAGGCAGTAGAGACTCTGCAGCCTGGATGGGCCCAAATGAGAGCAGGGCCACAGCAGGATGTGGAGCAAGTGAGCAGGCAGTGCCAGGCCAAGGTGGGTGCAACAGGGGCCCAATTGCCCCACAGACAGCGACCAGCAGCAGCAGCAGGGGCAGGCCACTGCCCAGCTCCCAGGCAGTGAGGGAGCTGGGCTGGGAGCCAGGCCCCTACTGATCACCCCACAGACAGTGACCAATGGCCAGCAGGCCCTGAACACCCGATCAGGGCCGGGCCTCAGGCTGGGATGGGGAACTGGAGGTAGGTGGCGGTGACCAACATCCCATGGCGCCCCGGTGGGGGACTGCGACCCCTCACCAGCTACCTGGGGGGGAAGTGGGGGGGTCAGGGGCAAGGAAGTATGACAATGTGGGGTGTCTGCTGAGCTCACTCTCACTCCCCTTGCCACCCTCCCCTGGGATGCCAGGGTTTGCACAATGGGGAAGCCTCAGCACTAAGGTACTGGGCATCCACGCAGCCTCTTCCAGGTGAGCGGAGCCACAGCCTCCAGGACTGCAGGGGCCAGCAGGCTCCCCATAGTTTCGTGCAGGAGCCAGTTACAAGGCCAGCCTGGAGAGAGCACACTGCCCACTTAGCTTCCATGCAGTGACGCTCAGCAGCCCAGCAGCCCACACGGCACCCCTGCCCGCAGTATCTGGCTGTGCTCACTGCATCTTTCTATGGGAACCCAGACACTGTGACTCAGTTGGGGGGGGGGGGGGCACACGGGGGCTCGGGGGCTCAGGGCTGCCCAAGACTGGAGATCAGCTGGGACCTTCCCTTCCAAGCCAGACACTTGTGCTTCGATTGCTGGCCAGGCCTAGGGACCAAACCCATGCACGAATTTCGTTAGAAATAAATTATATGGAACATATAAATTAACCTTTCTTCGATAATATATATACAGTATATATAGAAGGCTTTTCAGAATCTTGTAGCAACTTCAGCATTAGCACCATGATATATCCCTAATTACTTCTCATTCATTCAAAAATATTTGTTAGGCTATCACTATACAGTACTATAAGAAAAAATATCAAGTAACTTAAATACAAAATTACAGAAAAATTATGTTATCTTTTATCTTAAAGTAGTAGTCAGTTTTGCACTGATACTAGGGGCAGATGAAATTTAAAACAATAAATACTTCTTAAATTATATTAAACTAAAGGCCTGTGCAAAAAATTCGTGCATGGGTAGGGTCCCTAGGCCTGACCAGCACTCATGGCTGATCAAGGCCTTCCTTCCCCTGCTGCTGGCTGCTGGGCCTTCCTTCATTCCGCATTGCCCCCTAGTGGTCAGAGCACTTCATATCAAGCATTCGAACTCCTAGTCAGTCAAACTCCGGAGGGGACAATTTGTGTATTAGCCTTTTATTATATAGGATAAACATCACAAGAAACTGAATGAGAGCTATTCCAATTTTTAAAGTAAAATAATAAAGTTTTGAAAGATATTTTATTCAAGTTTTACTTGCCTCTGGTGGTGCAACTGGATAAAGCAATTTTTCTCCTTTAAGCAAACAGGAAACATGACTGTAATAACCTATTAGGTCTGACAGTGAAGAAAAACGTCTTCCACCAATGTAGTAATCTCCACACATAGCAATAATCCTATTTGTATAGGAAAAAAATACAGTATAACAAGAACCTTTAGAGATAATTTTGAAGACCAAGTTCCATAAAGAAATTTTTAAATCCATAATTTTCATACTCTTTTAACTGCATCTGTGTATTAAGATACTACTTATTAGTATCGTCACAATATGCTAATTACTTGAGGCTATTTCTTCTACAAATATATATTTCTTATGAAATGCATACATATATATTTAACGCATAATAAATTTCAATTACACAATTTATTAAAATATTTGTGAATTCATCCTCACATACGTCTTCTCACTTTCCCTATGAATGACTGAATAGCAATTTTAATAAAAACCTCTGGCTAAAAGCAGTTTCTAGATCTCTTGAAATATTTACACAGTATAATAATTTCCATTATACATGTGGTACTAATAAAAATTAAAATACAGTACAGAATATAACAGAACTCTCAAAGTTTATATTAAATCTAAAATCAAGGGTATACAAACATTTTATCCATTAACATTATATGCAGATGATTTTTTCAATCATGCCCATAAAAATAAAATAAAAGCAAATATGTGTGTGTGTGTGTGTGTGTATATATTAATACATACAGACTTTGATTATCTGTATTTGTAAATCTACATTTTCAATTACTTGAAATAAATATTTGTAAAGAGTTTCAGAACAGTGTAGTAGCTAAAATGAATTAAGGAGCACACACCTTTGACTCTTAAAAATTGTTTCCTGTATTTTTTGTTATTCTGTATTTCTACTTTACCACTCAAAGTTTCCTTCTAATTTAAATAATTTATACTTCAAAAGTAATAATTACATTTGTGGTTAGTATAGTAATGCCAGTAATAATACTGCTCTTAAACAATAATATAAACATTCGTCCTCTATTCTAAATTGCTGATAAATCATTTAAATGAAAACATATTTCCTTTTCCATTATTTAAATGTCATTGAGTCATTCACCTTTATTAAAATAGATATTTTTACGAGTAGTACAGCAAAACAGCTCTATTATACAGCCTCACAATGAAAATAAAAACTTACCTAAAATGGTTGACAACATTTGTCAGGCTAAGAAATGAAAGCACAAAAGACCCTGGCCTCCGATCACTCTCTCTTATAAGGTAACTGCCGGACTTTCCTGCCTGTCTGAGGCGTTCTTCTGCCATAGTCCTATCAAGTTTTCCATGATACCACCTAAGGGGAAAAATAACGAGATTAGGATAAAAATAGCAACCATAAAATTACTAATGATAGTTGAGTTACTAGAGGTTATAAATACCTTTATAACTTGAACATTTACATTGTACTCTGAAGCAGTTTTTCCAGTTCTAACTCAATTGTTTTTAACTTCTCAGTCTCTCCAAAAGAATTCTTTTACATAGTTTTCAATATGCTCTATAAGCTTAGACTAATCAGCTCACCTAATAAATTGCTTCCATTTCTGCCCATTTCTCTACCACCGAATTGTCTGTATGTTTAAGATACAAACACTTACTGCAATGAAATCGTTATTTAGAAAAATAAGAGTAAGATGGACAATGGAAACAAATGATTGTTACTTCTCTACATACTAAGGAACAAAGATTGGACAAAATAAAGCATATGCACCTGTGAAAAAATAAAACCTTATTCCATTGTTTTGCCCTAGAATAGGAAAACAGAATGACACTAACGGCTACTTTCTAATCTATTTCATCAATAATCTGATTATTTCCTTTGGTCTTACAATGATTTACTCCATAATGACTCATTTGAACTCAACTCTTCAAATTTACTTAACAAACACGTGAGAAATAAATAATTCCTTATGTCGTTTTAACTTTTCTGCTCTCAGTTTAACTATATTTTACCTAACATACTACCAGCGGCTCTGCTTAAATGACTAGCTATAATTCTCACATCATTCATGCTAAGCCTATAAAAGACTCATGGATTGATAGAAACAGAAGCATCCTTAGAAATTTATTGGAATTTTCATATGGTCATGATAACAAACCTACAAAGTAATTTTTTTAAAATATATTTTATTGATTTTTTTACAGAGAGGAAGGGAGATAGAGAGCCAGAAACGTCAATGAAAGAGAAACATCGACCAGCTGCCTCTTGCACACCCCCTACCGGGGATGTGCCCTCAACCAACGTACACGCCCCTGACCGGAATCGAACCTGGAACCTTCCAGTCCGCAGACCGACGCTCTACCACTGAGCCAAACCGGCTTCGGCCCTACAAAGTAATTTTTATGAAATATCTTTACACTTTTAATGTTAATCATCCAAACATATCCTCTGATACTTAAAATCTAATTTGACACATTCCAAGGAAAACAAACAAAAATTGATATTACATTGAGATATTTAATATTTAGAGATAAGTCAGGCAAAACTGCCGAACTACTATGACTACTTTTGCTATAATATATGGTTAGTACTATTCTTGACTCCTTGGTTTATTTAAAAACAACAGAAACAGCCGAAACCGGTTTGGCTCAGTGGTAGAGCATTGGTCTGGTAGAGCATTGGTCTGCGGACTAAAAGGTCCCAGGTTCGATTCCGGTTAAGGGCATGTATGTTGGTTGCGGGCACATCCCCGGTGGGGGGTGTGCAGGAGGCGGCTGGTCGATGTTTCTCTCTCATTGATGTTTCTGGCTCTCTATCTCTCTCCCTTCCTCTTTGTAAAAAATCAATAAAATATATTTTAAAATAAAATAAAATAAAATAAACATAAAAACAACCTAAACAGTATTAGAAGGGAAAGAACAATTAACATTGCATTCCTCTAAAATTCTAGTCTCAGTTCAATCATTACCTTTAAGGTTATTTGACAAAAAAATTTAATTTTGAAGAGCATAGTTTTTTTTTTTACATGTTTGTTTTTTAATCTAAAAGGAAAAGTTTAGACTAATGATCATTGAAAGTTCCTTAAAGATCTAAAATTTAACAATATATGATTAGGACAAAATTTTCAAACTCTAGGACAGAAGTTTCCTTAGTTGTGAAAATACTTGGAACTTCCTTAGTATATAAAGCTGTAATTCTTTATTATAATGGAGTAACACCAAAGAGCAGTTTTATAAATCAAACAAAGACAAAATTAAGGACAATTTTAAGTTCCTAATTGTGTGTACTTTATCTTAAATTCCTATTGTATTTTATGCAAAATATCAAGATTAAAATAGCTTATTCAATTTCCATTATCCTGTGAACTCACCATGAGACAACAGAAGTGCGAGAGACATTACACAATTACTAATCCTATATAATAAAGAATATACAAATTGACGCTCAAGCACTCACACAAGGTGGCCACCGCCATATGGTCAAAGATGACCGCCACAAGATGGCTGGCAGGGGAGGATAGTTGTGGGCAATCAGGCCTGCAGGTGAGGGCAGTTAGGGGCAACCAGGTAGGCAGGGGAGGGCAGTTGGGGAAGACCAGGCCTATAGGGAAAGTGTCAATCAGGCTGGCAGGGGAGTGGCTAGGGGGTGATCAGGCTGGCAAGCAGAAGCGGTTAGGAGCAATCAGGCAGGCAGGTAGGCAGGCGAGGGGTTGGGAGCCAGCAGTCCCATACTGTGAGAGGGATGTCTGACTGCTAATTTAGGCCCGATCCTACAGGGATGAGGCCTAAACCGGAAGTCAGACATCCCTGAGGGGTTCCAGATTGGAGAGGATGAAGGCTGGGCTGAATGACACCACCCCCCCCCCCGAGTGCACAAATTTTGTGCACCAGGCCCCTGCGCACGCGCGCGCACACACACACACACATACACACACACAAACACACACCCCTAAGTGACCGCCAGTAGCTATGATGCACAATGACTACCGGAATCGTGCATCAGTGGGGTCCCTAACCTGGCCTACAGGGATCTGGCTGAACCTGGCTCTCCAACATCCCCCAAGGGATCCCAGATTGCTAGAGAGCACAGGCCAGGCCGAGGGACCCCAACGGTGCATGAATCTGCGCGCCGGGCCTCTAATCTATATATATAAAAGACTAAGTGTCTGTCCATCCAACGGTAGCTCTAATGCGCACTGACCACCAGGAGAAGGTGCTCAATGCAGGAGCTGCCATGATGCAAACTGGCCACTTAAAAATAAACAGCACCACGGACCTAGTGCCAAGAAACCAATACTTGGCTTCCCCCAAATGGGACACAGGCCCTGCCACCACCCCAGAGCAACACCCCACCAAATCACAGCCAATGCTGCCAAGACCCCATGGCATAAAATGTGGCCCACAACCACCCAACCCAGAAACGGCCACTGTGGGAGCTAGGTAATGACATCTCTTAGCAATGCCTAGCTTCCTCTCCTTAGCGACTAGCATCCTTGGAGTTTCTTCAGCCCAAGAACCTGACTTGCTTTATAGCCATTTTAAACAAATGTTTGTGAAGCATTTTCTCTGCCTCATCTCATTTGATCCTCACAAAGTCCTAGAGTAAGTAGATAGGAGACTCAGTAGAATCCTATTTTCTTTTCATTAGTAAGACACAAATAGTGATATTAAAATATTTCTTCTAATTAATTTCCTTTCAATGTGCATGAATCTGTGCACCAGGACACTAGTGTATAATAAATACCTAACTAAAGGCCTTGATAATATATAAGATATACTTGTGATTTTTTAGTTTTTATATATGTGTACCTTCTGAAAGACTTTGGCATTAAAATGGGTATTAAGTTCAAGAAAGAAACACTGATCTAAAATAATAACTTTGGATAAGAGATCAACCAAAGGACTTGTATGCACGCATATTAGCATAATCAATGGACATGGACACTGGGGATGTGGGGGCTTGTCCTGAGAGAGGTGCTAGAGGGGTCAATGGGGGGGGGGGAAGACATATGTAATACTTTAAGCAATAAAAAGTAAAATAAAAATAAATAATAACTTTGTTTCCTGAATATTACTGACTCCCTTCATGCCAAAAGCTCATAAGCTTTGAACACAGAGCAAAACATGCCAATTTTTTATTATGATTGTAAACTGAAATTAAATTGTCCAACAATAAATCCTCAAGAATTATTAAGCATTCCCCTATTATAAGTGTCTGACTGCTCTAGAAAAAAAATCGAATGGTCTTAAAACTCAGAATTTCTTGAATTATCTCAATTGTTTACTTCAAATTATCAAGGTGAATCATAGTAAACAAAAGCAAAAACATCTGCAACGATATTTTAAAGTTACTATTGAAGCATAAAATGAACTTCAATTAAACTGTTACCGTATATAGCCTTTATTTCATTTTAAAAATTAGAAATATAAATAAATCATTAGTATATTAGATAAAAGTAATTTTATTTAAATTGCTATAGCATCATGACATACAGCTAAAACTGTTTTATAAGTCACAAATCTAATGTAATATTATTTGACTCAAATACTTCACAGATTTACAGATCCGATGTAAACTCTATATCCTGATCATTACTCCTTGGTTCTACTTTCAAACAATATCTCTCAATCTTTTTTTAACCTATGATCTTTTGGATAAACATAAAAATTTCACCAACCAGGAGATTTAGAGTCCCTAGTTTGTAATTTCTCATAATCATTATATAGTACATTTAACCTCAGCTGCCAAAAACTATATTTGAGAAATCTATAATATAATTTATTCTATATAAAAAATGTGTAATATGTTTTCTCAAAACATGATTCCCATAAAAAAGATATAACACTCCCTAGGGAGTCACTTCCCTAGTGGATATCTGTTTAAAAAATTCAATTTAATAAAAATGCTACACTTAATCATTGTTCAAATAGTTACAGTCGCATCAATACAAGGAAAAAAAAAAAAAAACACTGTTTAAATATTTACAGTCAAAGCTTTATTATATCTCTTTAATGATAATCTTGCTGGTGATTGTTTTCAAATAAGTTAAAAAACAAGAGTAAAAAATGCAACTGGAATCTAGAATACTTGCAAAAACACAAAGTGAAGGGTTATATTAGGGGTATGAAGAAACTCTTAGCATAATATGAAGATTACCATTTATCTGCAGGCTAATCACCTAAATTAAACTTTCTATTCTGTTTATATCAGTGGCAATTACAACTCATAAACTGAACTTTTAAAATATTAATTTCAAAAGTATTTCTTGAATAAAGGAACATGTGTTGAATCATAAAACAATGTTAGAAAAACTTCAACCTCCCTGCCAATGTAGGAAAAAAAGGTAAATTTTTTTC